TCACAGTCATAGTCATGGTCATCAACCTAACCTCACTCAACTATGAATTACAGTCATAGTCATGGTCATCAACCTAACCTCACTCAACTATGAATTACAGCCATAGTCATAGTCATGGTCATCAACCTAACCTCACTCAACTATGAATCATGGTCAAAACAAAAAAATCTCATAAATTTTTTTTCGAATTTCATTGAACCGATTCAATTCAACCAATCAACCAACCAACCAGACAATTCAAAAAAATTCAATTCAATGACCGTAAAAATGATTATCAAATTATCATCATAATTATCATCATCATCATTTTACCATTGATAATGATGATGATGATATTATCATTATGATTGTTTAAATAAAACAAAACAAAAAAATATAACATACCGCACACCACACGACTAATTTGCGAATGACTTATTACGTTTGATTGGAAATGGATGAATGAATATGATTGCGTGTGTCATACATTAATGTTATAATGATGATTTTCGGAAATTCATTTCATTTCCAGATAATTAATGCCGATCAATTATCATTATTAATCTATATTGATATTATCATTTGCTTCTTCTTTCGTTGTTTCTGTCTTTCTCTAATTAAACCATTTGTTCTTTTGTTATTTGAATTAAGGATTTAAGATTTGAAAATTTCAAAATGATCAAAAAGATTCTTTTTCTTTTTTCTCAAAATTATTTTTTGTTATTGTCATCGAATTGAATGGAATAATCATTTTATCATAAATAATAATCATGTTGCGTGTTGATTATCATCTAATTTCGTATTTTTTTCAAAAAAAAAAATCTTTTCATTGAAATTCAACGAATCTTCATTATTCTTCTTCTTCTCATTTGTCGAATTTGAAGAATCAAATTTTCTTAATTTTCATTGAATTGTTGTCAGTTTTTTTGTTTGTTTGTTTGATTTTCAATAGAAAAAAAGGGTTAAAAAAAGAAAATAAAAATTTTCTAATTTTAGCCACCCTTAGTCGTCTATCTTCAAGATGATAAATTTTTCATTCATCATTCAACCCTTTCCACCCACCCACACACTGCACACGACACTTTTTTACGGTTCGGTCTAACTTCTTAACAAAAAAGAAAACTAATTACTTTCGATAGATTTAATTAGATAAAAGGTATTTATGTTTTTCGCTATTACCGCTGATCGGTAAACATTTGAAACAATTTTTTTGTTGTTGTTGATTTAGAATGGAATTGTAGTTGTTATAGATAGGATAAAAATAGCCGAATTTTATTTTTGTTTAAACTGAACTAATTTTAACCTAGTTTTTCCTGTTGACAATTTTATTATTGAAATGTTTATTTATTTATTTTTCAGTGTCATTCGATGAATTTTATTTATTTATTTAGGTTTTATGGCTTCATTTTTTGTTTGTTTGTTTGCAAAAAAAAAGTTTTGTTTTAAAAGATTTTGGTTCTTCGTGAGATTCTTATCCATCATCATCATCGTCTCGAATCGAATCGAATGTTTTCAAAATCAAGAATTCGAATGGAACTACAGCGCCATCTTTTTTATTCTATTTGAAAACAGAAACAAAACAAAACAAAAATTCCAGATTCTATTCAAATTTTTTTATTAATCACATCCAAAATAATAGTCAATTCGATTGGATTGGATTTGAAACGAAACAAAAAACAAACAGCCGAAACAGATTTAATCGAAAACCAAAGAGATTAACAGGTTTCGATCTGGATGTGTTCTGGTCAATCATTTATTGATATTGCCATGAAAATATTTTCTGTTTCCAACGAAAAATATCATTTTGTTCGCTGATGATGATAATTATAGCTTAGCTTGTTTGTCATCATCATCATCGAACATTGAAACAAGTGTTTTTTATTTTTGCTGACTTTATTTTCAAAATGGACCAAAGTTGTCGAACGACGACAGCCGAAGAAGAAAAAATCCAAGGCCAATGGATGACCAATAGGGTCATCACCATCAACAACAAACCTGTCCATCGTCCATCGTCATTATCATCGACCAGGCCAATTTATTACCTAGGTCCAGTGCAAAAAAAATGCAAATTTTTTTTTTTGCAGAAGCAAACCTGTTACATACCTGCTGTATATTGGTGATGAGGAGGAGGAGGAGAAGGTGATGATGATGATAAGAATAAGTGTTACAAGTTTGATGATGATCACGAGCTGCCGTAAGCGCGCGCATTTTTTTCTTGAAGAAGATAGAGGGAGGATGAGTGGAAATACAGGTGATAAAATCGATTCATTTCTGATCATCATCATTCGAAAGAAATAAGATAGCCGTTGGGCAGTTTATAAAGATAAAAAAACAGGTCGAACAAGTTAGCTAGCTGAATATCTTCGAGGCAACCAAACAAGATCTTCATCATCATCATCATCTTAAGAAAATTAAATGGAGAAGGGGGAGGGGGAATAAAATTGATGATGGTATGCCGTAGGGAAATCTTTGGTTGTTGGGTTTTCTTACCTGGAAGGAGGAGGAGGATGAAAACAGAAAATTATACCCCCTCCCCCTTTTCCACACACACAATTCGAATCATTTTGAATCCCTCACCCTCCACACACACACATGCTGCTTCGAATTATTTTGTTTTTTTTCAAGAAAACTATCTTAAAGAAACGAAAATAAAAAAAAAGCTTAAAGGCAGCGCGCATACTTTTTTTGCTTACCTTTACTATCTCTGTGTACTAATTTATATTGGTGTACCTGTTGTACCTTCTCGTTTATTTTTGGTTCTTCAACAACAACAACCTGAAGAAGAAATTGATCGAAGAAAAGTAAGACGGAAAACAAAAAATTTCGTTGCCGCTTAAAAAAAATTGAAAAAAGACTGAACTGATCATCATCATCATCAACGAAAACACGAAGACAGTTGAAGAGGAGAAAGAGACACAGATACCAAACAAATATCCAGTCAGTCAGTCAGTCAGTCAGCATGTTCATCGAAGAAGAAGAAAAACATACTTTGGCAGACAGCTAAACACCAAAGAAAAAATGAAAATTTTTAAATTTTTTTAAAAAATATCCAATCGATTTGCCATGTAAATGTGCCAAAATATCTTACGCTGAATGTGCCAAAAAATCCGAAAAAGAAATACTCAAAAAGCCAAAAAAGAAGAAATCATACGGGAAATCCAAAATAAAAAGAATTCGATTCTATTTCGACTCCACTGAAAACAAAGTGCCATAATAATGGAAAATTCGAATAATAATAATATTGTTGTTGTTGAACATAATCAACAACAACAACATATCGATAATGATTATCATCATCATCATCATGTTCATCAACAACAACCGATGACAAATGAATCAAGAAAACGTAAATCACATCATTTAATTCATGATGATCAACATGATGATGATGATAATGAAAATATTGATGATGAAGATGTTGAAAATAATGATCCATTATCATCAACAATAACAACAACATCGACTACGACCACGACGGAAACAAAATCATCATCATCATCATCCACGATAACGTCAACATCGTCGTCGGCAGCATTCATATTGCCCGAGGTAATCTTGTTTTTTTAGGTAGAGAAAGTCACGTGGTCACTTGCCTGTGGCTATTGTTGAAAAACAAATCTTCATACATCACCATCATCACTATATACACCTGGTTACCTGTGTTGACTTTTGATTATTGCATAATTTTTTGTTGTTGTTTCAAATTTGATTGATTAATTAATTGATGTTTTTGTTTTTCTAATCAAATTAGGATCGTGGTGGTCATAATATCACTGGTAGTAATAATGGTGGTGGTGGCATTGTTGGATCAAATTTATCAAGTATAACCGGCAGTGGAGGTGGAAATGGTGGTTCATTTTTAACCTCATCTTCGACAACCGGTACAAATCAAACAACAAGATTAACACCGACAGCATCAGATTTTCAGCCACCATATTTTCCACCACCTTATAACCATATACAGCAGCAACAAATTGATTTTCATCATGCACATGCCGCAGCAGCAATGGCTGTCGCATCATCAGCTGCAGCTGGAACATCAACAATTGTTGATCCATATGGTCATCTGTCCAGTGGTATTAGTTTTGGATCACAACAACAACAACAATTACAACAACAACAGCAACAACAACAATATCAACATAGTCAACATCATTCACTTAATCCACATCAACAACAACATAGTACAGCAAATTTATCATCACAATTTCATCATCATCACCATCATCAGAACCAGAATCAAAGATCAAATCAATTATTGCAAATTACTAGTCGAAATCATCAACGAAATAATAGTGGTGGTGGTGGTAATAATAATAATGATGATACAAATGATATTAATTTACAATCACCAAATCATCATCAACAACAACAATATAATTTACATCAACATTATACAGCAACCGATATACAAATGGTTATTAATAATAATCGTCGATCAGCAGCAGCAGTCACAACAACAACAACAACATCCACATCTACACCAACATCAATATCATCCTCATCTTCATCATCATCGATTGATAATGAACCATCATCTGTATCAAATTTACGACGACCGGATGTATTAATGCATGGTGCAGCGGCTGCTGCGGCCGCCGCTGCAGCAGCAGCAGCTGCCGCAACTAATTCTCATCATCCTCATCATCATCATAATAATTTACATCATCACCATCATCCGCATCATCATTTACATCATCCACATCATCATCATCATCATTTAATTGATCAAGATTTGCTCAATTTACATACATCATCTGCATTACCATCATTAGATCATCATGATCAATCACAGGTAAGGTTTTTTTTAAAATTTTTACAAAAATTTTGCTATCAAAGTAATGAGATTTGAATGTCAATTTGATAGTGTCTATCATAGAGCTATCATAGAGTCAGAAATTCTTAGTAGTTCTTGTTTTTGGCCAAAAATAATCATCACTTTGGTCTCTTCACATTGATTATTGCAATCATCATCATCATCTTCGTCGTTTATCACCGCCTATTTTCCTCTACCTTCTTCAGTCATCATCATCATCATTGTTTTGTTTTTGTTTAAACATTAATGAGATTTGGCACAAAAAAAATTGACCATTGGCGAGAATTGGTTGTTGTTTGTGAAAGAAATGAAAGAAAATCAATCAGTCAATGGCGACAGCATGCTTTTGTTTCAAAGAAAAAAAATCATTTTTCTTAACAGTTTCTTGGCAGGGCAGCCAGAGAGAGAGAGAGAGAGAGTTTGGTCTTTTGGTCGGTTCGAAGACCCAGAGAAAATTTTTCTTTGCTTAGTCCCACACTAAGACCGAATTTTCTTAATGTTTTTTTCCAATTTGAAAAACGATCATTTATAATTGATACATACCAAAAAGAAAAAAAATACCTTGAATTTTTTTTCTGATCATCATTAAAAAATGAATGATTTTTTTTTCATTGTCTATAAATTAATTAATTAACTTTTGTTTTGTCTTATTTTCCCTCATTTTGTATGATTAGTAACAAAAAAATGTCAATCGAAAATATTTTGATTGATTCCCTTTTTTTCCTGTGTCGATTTTCTCATTGATTTTTGGAATTTCCATGTTCACATAAGATTTTCTTCGATTAACTTATTTTTGTTTTACTTCTCCATCACACACACATTATGTGAATAAGATGTGATGTTAATATTTAATCCAAAAGAAAGAAAAGAAATTAAACAACGAAAAAAAACAAGTTTCCTTTCCAAAAATATTTTAGCCTTTTTTTTTGATTGAGCAATATTTTTTAATTTCGATTGCACCAAAACAGAGGGATGTTTAATGTTAATGTTTATGGTTGTGTGTGTGAAAGGAAATGATAATGTTAATGATGATGATGCTAATGACAGGATGTGTATTCTATTTTATTTGATTTTTTTTCGAAATTAATTTTGTTTTTGTTTTTATCGTTAATGAATTTTTTATTCAAGAAAATATCCCAGCCAGATTGTTTTTGATTTGTATTTAGTGATTAGATCTATGGATTAACCATTATTTCGATGATCAGCTGATCATTTTTGTCTTCATAAAAACATAGGGCGCTTTCCTATTCGCGTGTGTCATTCATTCATTTACAGAATGGGAATTAGAATCACACAAAAACACACACACGATGCCTTTGGGCTAGCCCTTTTTGCTATATTCTTTTTCTTTATTCACTTTTCACTGATCGATCTGGCTCGAGGCAGCACATCAAACCAAACCAACACAAATTGCTGGCGGCGTCAAAAATACAGTACTGTACACCAACGACGACAATCAACCAAATCAAACCAGAAAAAAAAGAAAAAGAAAACCAGAAATATATTTGTGAATGAATGTAACTTGAAGCAATTTCTCTGTATTTTTGTGTTAGTGGAGTTTATATATTTTGAATGAAACCCAAGCGAAAAAAAATGCCACTAGCAAAATAGCAAACAAACAAAAAATATACCCGATGGATATTATTATTATTATGCTCCCTCTCTACACAATAATAATGCATCATCCCAAAATGAAATGAATGAAAAAGAAAAACGCTTGGAGTAATTCTATACCGAAAAGAAATGAAATGTATGTGTTGGGCTCGCCGAAATATATTTTTTGTATATATTTCTGTCTCAGGGATTCTCTCTTTGATTGTGTTTTCTTTTTGTTTGTTTTGTTTTTGTTTTTCCTGGTTTAAATGATGATTATTTAAAACTTAAAAATTGATGAAAACAAAATCCGAGTTGAACATCATCATCGAAAAATCGAAATTCTACAAATCTAGTCAATTTTTTTGATTATTATTTTCAATCAGTCAGTCAATTACGCAATTGAATCTGGTCATAGAAGAAGATTTTATTTGAATAGAATGGCCGAACAAATAAAAATGAAAAAACGTTGTCGAACAACTGATAATGATGATGATGATGATGATTATCATCAACAAGATGTTAAACCGATAAAATTATTAAAAAATTCATCAGGTGATAATGATGCGGCAGATGATATCGATGATGCAACGGATGCATTATTCATTGATTCTATCGATAATGATGATGATGATGATGAGAATTTAGTTGATGAAGAAGAAGAAACAGATGATGATGATACCGGTGATGATTTAGATGATGTTGATGATGATGATGAACATTCAATGTTAACAACAGCAAATAATAATAATTTACCAAGTGATTTACAATCACAATTAATGGCAATCAATTCAACATTATTATTGAATAAAAATTTATTATTATCAAATATGGCACAAACATTAATGATGCAATCATCATGTTTATTGGTAATTCAAACAAATTCATTCATTGATTGGTTTTAAGATATTTATTTATTTATTAACTTTCTTTGTTTCAATCGTGAAATTTATGATTTTTTTTTTTGTTGTTGAATTTCTTTCTTAGGGAGCCAATATGGATGATACATCATCGATTGGTTTATTTTCCCCTGAACATCATTCGAATAGTGTAATTAGAAAAAATGTTGTCAATGGTAATGGTAAGTGGTAATTTTTTTTGAAGTTTTAAAATTAATTTAAAATTTTTTCAAAAGGAATTAAACAACGTAATAATAATAATAATGATATGCATAAAGATATGCTAATTACTTCGGGTTTAACATCACCTGCTGATGTTTTCTGTTCAGTACCTGGACGATTATCACTATTAAGTTCAACATCAAAATATAAAGTTACTGTTGGTGAAGTACATCGTCGTTTATCACCACCGGAATGTTTAAATGCATCATTATTAGGTGGTGTACTTCGTCGGTTAGTCTAATTGAATTACATTTTGTTTGTCATCATTTAAATTGTTTGAAATTTTAATAGAGCAAAATCGAAAAATGGTGGAAAATCATTACGTGAAAAATTGGAAAAAATTGGCCTAAATTTACCTGCCGGTCGTAGGAAAGCGGCAAATGTTACATTATTAACATCATTGGTCGAAGGTAAATGAAAAAGAAAAGATTTGTAGATTATTTGATCATCATCTTTTTTGTTTGTTTTTTGACAATCAATAGGCGAAGCATTACATTTAGCCAGAGATTTTGCCTATGTTTGCGATACAGAATTTCCAGCCAAACAAATGGCTGAATATCTATGTCGAAATAATTCTGAACCGGCCGATATTTATAGACGTAAAGAATTAGTATTATCCACTAAGTAAGTTTTGTAATTGACTGAAGAAAATTGTAACAATTTTGATTAATTCTTTAGGCAATTATTAAAAGAATTTATGGATCTTTTAAATCAAGATCGTTCACCATTATGTAATGGTCGTCCACAGCCAATACTTGATACAAATATACAAAGAAATTTAACACATTTTTCATTAATAACACATGGTTTTGGTAGTCCAGCTATTGTTGCTGCATTAACATCTGTACAAAATTTTCTAACAGAATCATTAAAATACCTCGAAAAACAATTAAATAATTATTCAAATCAAGGTGGTGGTATTGGTCTTGGTGGTCATCCACATCCACATCATTTATTATCATCGTCATCATCATCAACAACAACTAATTCATCATCAGTGGCTATATCTTCAGCAGCAGCGGCTGCTGTTGCCGCTGCAAATCTAATTGAAACAAAAAAAGAAATCGAAATAGTCACTAAACAAAAATGAATTCATTCGAACCTCAACAACAACTAATGAATCGATTTTTTTCCCTGCATAACATTACATTATTCTTTATTTATGAAATGAATATTCCAAAAATCTTGATGATATTTCATGCCACCTATTCACACTATATAAACACACACACAGGAGATGCCAAAAAAACTGAAAATTTTTTTTTGTTCAATTTCGGTTTTTAATCATCAATTCTGCCGATAGTTTTTTTTCTTTATTTACTTTTTGTTTTTTTTTCTCATTTGAATTGGTTGAAAACCATTTTTATCTTTTTTCTTTATTTCTTGAAATTTGCTGCTTGATTTATTTTTTTTTTGTCTGCTGATTTTGTGATTCAAAATATTCTGTGTTTTTTTTCGCCCCTAATTTGTATTATTAATTTTTTTCTGTGCTGTTTTTATTTGTGCAACCATGTTGAATTGACCGACCAAAACAAACAAAAAGCATTAAAATTATCAACCAATACACAAACAACCAAAATCATCAACTAAAATCATCATCGAATATCAGATTCTTTATTTATTTTACCACACACATTTATAAATATTGTGTATACATTTTTCATTATTTTTTTTCGTTTTTTTTCAATCCTCATCATCATCATTTTTTTGTCGTTCTTGCAATATTTGCAGCATTCAATTAGTGCAAAACAGTACAGGATTTTTTTTCTTCTGATTTGTTGTCATCATGTCTTATTTTTTATTTAACCCCATCACTTTTTTTTCTAAAAAACAAAATTATTTATTTAATAATTTTTCATCATAAACTGAAAATGAATTTGAATCATTCAAACATTCGATTTTTAAAAATTCAACATTGAAAGATCAACAAAATTCTGTCTATATAATTTATTTGATTTAAATTTATAAAAAATAAAAAATAATGATGATGACCATCAATAATAATAATTACAAAATAAATGATTTAAAAACAAAATAATAATCAATTTTTGAAAACATCAAATATCATCAAGTAAAATTTGCTTATTTTTACCATTGTTAAAAATTAATGATGAAGGTGATGTTGAAGATGTTGGTGATTCATCATCACCAACACAACTGCCACCAATAATAATCATGTTGTTGGATTGTAATCGTCGTCGTTGTTGTTTAAATAGATCATTTTGTAATAATTTCAATAAAATTAACATCAAAATTATGGATATAATCTATGTGAAAGGGGATGGGAAAAAAATCAATCAATATTTCAACGAATCAATCAATCTATTCAATGTATACCTGTACAGCCAACAATGAACAAATCGATATGATAAATGTTTTTCGTTGTTTTCTAAGCCAATCAATTAATTTTTGTTTACATCCAATCTATCATTGATTGATTGATTAATTTTCCATGATCGGATATCATCATACTTACACGATATGGTTCATAGATCGTGATCGGATGATTATCATATTCAATCGACGATGTTGATGTTGATAATGATTGTTCTCTATAACAACTTTGATCGATTGGATCCAATTTACTTGCAAATTCACTTAGACCAGTTAATCCACAACATTTTAACTTTAATTTCAAAAAGATTTAATTATTTTTTTAAATTTTTCCTTTTACAAACAAAAAATTACCTCTTTTTGTATAAAATTTCTACTTTGAATATTGATCTCTTTCCAACCTTGATCAACTAGATTGGAAATTTGAATGTTTGCAACTTTTGCCGAAATGAATGTACCAATTTCCATTGATATGATCAATACGGTTAAAAATATGCACTTGTTTTTGTTCGATGGAAAAAATGATTTTTATTGAGAAAATTTCTACAACAAAAAATAACATACCAATTTTAATGTATGACAATTTTTCTTCCAACTAGAATAAATAATTAATAAACCCACAGTAGATAATAATAGACCAAATATTAATTGACTATTTGTTATCAGCTATAGGAAACAAAATTGATTAATTGATTAAAACAATGAGATCTATAAATATTTGAATTTACCGCGTTACCAAATGAAAATGATTGAATATTATTGATTGTATTCAATGACCAAACAACATAGAACATCATACAACAGCCAAATATCTTTCATTTTGGATTGACATTGATTGATTAAAAATGTAATTTTTTTTTAATTTGAAAAAAATGAAATACAAACCCATGTATTGATGCCAATAGCACCGACTATTAATCGAATTAAAAATAAAATTATCTTCATCTTATTTCATCAATGGCACCAACAAAAAAAAATTGGTTTTTCATTTAGAAACTTTTTCTTCGTTCGATATAAACATTGTCGCTCGACATTTAGAAATGGTAGATTTCTTTTCCTTTTTGGTTTCAAGTTCAGGAAGTCAATCACACATACACCTGTTTCACACCTGAAACTGACGACGACGACTACGAATCTTTCATCATCAGAACAAAGGATGGAGGTTTACTTGTTTTTTTGTTTGTTTGTTGAAATGACGAAATGAAAAAATGTATGCATCACTGAACACCAACCAACCAACAACCGCCAAACAGTTTTTTTTGTCGAAAAAAAATTCATATTTATTATATCTATAATAATGGTAATGATAATAATAATAATAATCAGGTAGAGTTACAAAAAAATTTACACCAAACGAACAACAACAAAAATGTTTACCAAAGAAAAAAGGTTAACGAAAGAATTAATTGAAAATCGTCTGAAATCAGATCACATTTTAACCCATTCATTACGATCATCATCACCATCATCGCTTGAACATTTACTGCTAGGAATTTCTTTTTGGCTATTTGACCCGGATGAACCACGATGGCTACTACTGCTGTTATTGTTCATTTTTTCCCATTCATCTGTTTCTGATGGTGATATTGATGTCGATGTTGTTGTTGTTTTTGTTGGTTTTTCATCATTTGTTTTATCCAAACATTGTTGTTGTTGTTTTTGAATTTGTTCATTAGCTAAATGTTGACGTAATTGATAAACATTATAAAAATATCGATTCCAAAATTCTTCTTCGGATAATTTATCCGGCACGAATTCATCATAATATTTCGAAATATCCGTTATATTCATTAAAAGATATTCCATTTGTTTTTGATGATTGTTAAGATTAAATCGAGCTAACCATTGTTCAAAATTATCAGGTGGTCCAACAGGTTCACGACAATATGTATTTGGATCTGATTGTAATTTTCGTAAATGTTCTAACCAATTCTCTATCTTAATAATTTCACCATCAACCACTACATATGGTTCATCATTTAATTCATCAATAGAATATTCATTGGTGAATATTGTATCAACAAATGTATCTTTCATTAAATTTATTGTTGTTTTGGCCGTATCGGTTAATTTATTGGTCCATAAATTTATATTTTTCATATCGAATGATAATCCTCTTGATTTAAATGAATTATCATCATCGTCAGTTTTTATCGATTCATCATCATAAGGTTTTTCTTCTTGTTTATCAAGACCTTCTTCATCGGTTAAATTTGTTCCCATACTACCGATTTCGGTAACAGTATTACCAATTTCATTGAATGTATTTTTAACTAATGATGCTGTTGAATAAACCATATTGGTTGTATCATTTTGTACGGCATCTTTCAATTCACTTAGATCTCGTCTTATTGATTCCATTGTTGTCTTGATTTTTTCGAAAATTAAATTTTAAAAATTTAAAATTTTTTTAAAATTTAAAACTCACCTTGCTAACGGTTTGTTTAGCCTGTTGAACGATATTGGAAAACCATCCACCAAACGATGATGATGATGAAGGTGATGGTGATTCTGGAACAACATCCGCGACAACAACAGCATCATCATTAGCATCATTTGATTTTGATTGATCAATTATACTTTTTTCGTCATCATTATTATCAATGCTAAATCAAAAATATTAATAAAAATTGCAATTTTTTTCAATTCAAACCTTTTTTCCTTCGGATCAATTTCACTGGATTCATTTGTAGATTCTGACATGATTTATGATTCAAATTTATTAAATTAATTAAAATTGAAAAATTTTTTCGTTGGTTTGTTTGTCTGTTGTTGTTATTGTTGTTTACATCGGACACATCGATGAATAAATAATTAATACGCAAAAGAAAGTTGTCGAAATAATTTTTTCATCCAAAAGATGGCGTTATTTGTTTCAAAAAAAAAATAATAATTTGAAATTTTTTTTAATTAAAAAAATCAATATCGCATCATGTGATGCGGCATGTGGAATTGATCTGAAATATACCAATCACAATGATGAAATTTTGAAAATATCAATCAAATTTGAATGATTTGAATGAATCGACATACATTCCTATCCAATCAATTATATCAAAAATCCTGGATGATCAATTAATTAGTTAATTGAATTTGAGCCGATCGAAAGATGATCGATATTGATTGATCATCACCACTATTATCACCCTTCCCGCTCTACACATTAAACGCACTCTAAATATCACACACACACACACAATAAACAAACACACACACCAAAACCACGTTGCGATGATGTATGATAATAGCCTTGAAACATGTTTTTTGTTTTCAATTCTTCTGCCACTGCTGTTCATTTTTTTCACATTTCATTTTTTTTTGTTTGAAATAAAATCTTCACTATATATATTAAAGCAGCATGTTTGAAAAAAATGTTGTTGTTGATAATTGAAAAAAGATCGATTATTATTTCATAAATTTCAAATATCAACAAGTGAATTTTTTTAGTTTGTTTTTTTTTTGTTTTCATTCTCTTTTTCCATTCATTCCGTTTATTTTTTGTTGCCACAAAATGTCCCAACAACAACAAGAAGCATTGTTGATCATTAAAGATGGACCAACATTCCAAGGAATATCATTCGGTTATCAGGATAAATGTGTTGCTGGTGAAATTGGTTAGTTTTGTTTTTGATTTAATTGCTTTTTGGTTTTTGATTGAATTTGGTTTCTTATTACAACTTTTTTTTCAAAGTTTTTCAAACCGGTATGGTCGGTTATGTTGAATCGATGACTGATCCATCTTATCATAAACAAATTCTTGTTTTTACATATCCATTAATCGGTAATTATGGTGTACCAAATGATCAGGAACCAAAATTGGATGAATATAATCTGCCCGTTGATTTTGAATCGAAAAAAATATGGCCAGTTTGTGTGGTTATGAGTGAATTATCCTCCAATTATAGCCATTGGAATGCATATCAATCACTGGAACAATATCTATTGAAAAATTTTGTTACCGGCATTCATGGTATCGATACTAGACAATTGACAAAATATCTTCAGGATAAAGGTTCAACATTGGCGAAAATTGTTTATAAAAAACAAACAATTATTGATTTTCCATTCTATGATCCAAATACCGATAATTTAGTTGATGAAGTTTCTGCGAAAAAACCTACAATTTTTAATGAAAAAGGATTTCCAAAAATATTGGCCATTGATTGTGGTATTAAATATAATCAGATTCGTTGTCTAGCACGGCGTGGTGCTCGTGTAAAAGTTGTACCATGGAATTGGCCATTAGATAAAGAAGATTTTGATGGACTTTTCATTAGTAATGGTCCAGGTGATCCATCATTTTGTGATAAAACTGTTGAAAATATCGCCAAATTAATTGATGGTGAACGACCAATTTTTGGTATTTGTCTTGGACATCAAATTCTTTCTCGTGTGGCTGGTGCTAAAACCTATAAAATGAAATTCGGTAATCGTGGCCATAATCAACCGGTATTATTTTGTGATCAAATAAAATGTTGTATAACATCACAAAATCATGGTTTTGCTGTGGATGAAAAATCATTATCGTCGGATTGGCTGCCAATATTTACTAATGCAAATGATCATTCCAATGAAGGTATTGCACATCGTACGAAACCATTTTTTTCCGTACAATTTCATCCAGAACATATGGCCGGACCTGAAGATATGGAATTTTTATTCGATATTTTTATTCAATCAATAATTGGCTATATGGAAGGATCAAATCATATTCCGATAAAGGAAAAAATTGCTCAATTTCTCAATCAATCATCTTCGATTGAATATTCACCCGAAATTTGTCGATCAAATTATCCAAGAAAAGTTCTTATACTTGGTTCGGGTGGTCTTTCAATCGGCCAAGCCGGTGAATTTGATTATTCTGGTTCACAAGCTATCAAAGCATTGAAAGAGGAAAAAATTCAAACAGTTTTAATTAACCCGAATATTGCTACTGTTCAAACAAATCCAGGAATGGCTGATAAAATCTATTTTCTACCAATAACAAAAGAATATGTTGCCGATGTAATCAAAAATGAACGACCCGATGGAATATTTTTGATGTTTGGTGGACAAACTGCTTTAAATTGTGGCATTGAATTGGAAAAAAGTGGTATATTGGAACAATATAATGTTCGTGTGCTGGGAACACCGATCAAATCGATAATCGATTCGGAAGATCGAAAAATTTTTGCCGAAAAAGTCTCGCAAGTTGGTGGTGAAGTTGCACCAAATGAAGCTGTATATTCAGTAGCTGAAGCATTGGAAAAAGCAGAAAAACTTGGTTATCCAATATTGATTCGTTCGGCATATGCATTGGGTGGTATGGGTTCAGGTTTTGCAAATAATTCCGATGAATTAATTAAATTAGTTAAACAAGCACTGGTTCATTCATCACAAGTATTAATGGATAAAAGTTTAAAAGGATGGAAAGAAGTTGAATATGAAGTATTACGTGATGCATATGATAATTGTATTACAGTATGTAATATGGAAAATCTAGATCCATTAGGTATACATACTGGTGAATCGATTGTTGTTGCACCAAGTCAAACATTAACTAATCGTGAATATAATAAATTACGTACGATGGCCATAAAAGTGGTTAAATATTTAGGTGTTGTTGGTGAATGTAATATTCAATATGCATTGAATCCATATTCGGAAGAATTTTATATTATTGAAGTTAATGCCCGGCTAAGTCGCAGTTCAGCATTAGCATCCAAAGCTACTGGTTATCCATTAGCATATATTGCTGCAAAAGTTGCCCTAAATATACCGTTATCATGTTTAATGAATAGTGTTACTGGATCAACAACAGCATGTTTTGAACCAAGTTTAGATTATTTAGTTGTTAAAATTCCAAGATGGGATTTGGGAAAATTTACCAATGTTAGTCATTTGATTGGTAGTTCAATGAAAAGTGTTGGTGAAGTAATGGCTATTGGTCGAAATTTTGAAGAAGCATTTCAAAAAGCATTACGTATGGTTGATGAAAGTGTTATGGGCTATGAAACCAATCTAAAACAAGCAACCAACGAAGAATTAGAATGTCCAACTGATAAACGAATATTTGCATTAGCAGCAGCATTAGAAGCTGATTGGAAAATTCAACAATTACATGATTTGACTAAAATTGATTTATGGTTTTTGTATCGTTTAAAAAATATTATCGATTTTCAAAAATATTTAAAATCATTGAAAACATTATCGAATGCGGATCTGATACGGGCAAAAAAACTTGGATTTTCCGATAAATTCATTGCACATTGTGTTGTTAGTCATGAATTAATGATACGAAGACAACGTATTGATAATAATATTCGACCGTTTGTGAAAAAAGTTGATACCGTTTCCGCTGAATGGCCAGCAACAACAAATTATCTTTATCTTACCTATAATGCCACTGAATCGGATAATACTGATATTTTGGCCAATAATGTTGGTGGTAGTAATGCTGTTATGGTATTGGGCAGTGGTGTTTATCGTATTGGTTGTTCAGTTGAATTTGATTGTTGTGCAGTTGGTTGTGTACAAGAATTGGCCAAAATGAATAAACAAACAATAATGGTGAATTGTAATCCAGAAACAGTTAGTACCGATTATGATATGTGTGATAAACTTTATTTTGAAGAAATATCATTCGAAACTGTTATGGAAATATATGATATGGAAAAACCTGAAGGTATTATACTAAGTATGGGTGGACAATTACCAAATAATATTGCTATGGATTTATTTCGACAAAAGGCCATAATACTTGGTACATCACCCGAATCAATTGATAGTGCTGAAAATCGTTTTAAATTTTCCAGATTAATGGATGAAGTTGGCATTATGCAACCACAATGGAAAGAATTAACCGATATTGAACAGGCGAAAAAATTCTGTTCTCAAGTTGGTTATCCATGTGTTATACGGCCATCATATGTATTATCAGGTGCAGCAATGAATGTTGCAAATTCGGAAAGAAATTTAGAAAATTATCTTAATGAAGCAACTGCTGTCAGTAAAGAACATCCTGTGGTTATTTCAAAATTCATTAAAGAAGCAAAAGAAATTGATATTGATGCTGTTGCACAAGATGGAATGTTGATTGCAATGGCCGTATCTGAACATGTTGAAAATGCTGGTGTTCATTCAGGTGATGCTACGCTGGTTACACCGCCACAAGATTTAAATAAAGAAACATTAACCAAAATTAAGATAATTTGTGAAAAAATAGCCAAAGCATTGGAAGTTAATGGACCATTTAATATGCAATTAATAGCTAAAAATAATGAACTTAGAGTTATTGAATGTAATCTTCGAATATCACGTTCATTTCCATTTACATCGAAAACATTGGATTGTGATCTAGTTGCATTGGCCACACGTGTTATAATGGGTATTCGTGAACAACCTGTTGATTTGTTGGGCAAAATATTGATCGATGATGGTCGTGGTACAAACAACAACACCAATAATATTCATTGTCGACGGGTTGGTGTTAAAGTTCCGCAATTTTCATTTTCACGTTTAAGTGGTGCCGATGTTATGTTGGGTGTTGAAATGGCAAGTACTGGTGAAGTTGCTTGTTTTGGTGAAAATCGTTATGAAGCATATTTGAAAGCAATGATTAGTACTGGATTTCGTATACCGAAAAAAAGAATAGCATTAATTTCAATTGGTACACATAAACATAAATCAGAACTATTACCAAGCATACGAACATTACATCATATGGGCTACCGGTTATATGCTACATTAGGTACGGCTGATTTCTATAATGAAAAAGATATCCCAGTTGAAGCAGTAGAGCTACCATTTTTGGAAGATGATGCCATACCGAATCGTACGAAAATCAATGATATTGCACAATATTTATCGAAAAAGGAGATTGATTTAGTTATTAATCTACCGATGCGTACAAGTGGTGCAAGACGTGTATCAACACTTGGTTATCGTTATCGAAGATTTGCTGTCGATTATGCCATACCATTAATATCGGATGTAAAATGTGCCAAACTGTTAGTAGAAGCATTAAAACTTATTGATAATAATCCACCATTAAAAACACATATCGATTGTTTAACATCAAGAAAAATTATTCGTTTACCTGGTTTGATTGATGTCCACGTTCATTTACGAGAGCCAGGTGCACCGGAAAAAGAAGATTTTGAATCCGGAACGGCTGCAGCATTAGCCGGTGGTATAACATTAGTTGGTGTTATGCCAAATACACGACCACCGATTACAAATCAAGAAACATTGCAACAAGTATTAAATCTAGCACAAACAAAAGCAAAATGTGATTATGCATTATTTATGGCTGCTACTAATGATAATTCGGATGAATTGGCCCGAATTGCAAGACAAACTCGATTTATGGCTGTAAAAATGTATCTGAATGATACATTTGGACAATTACGACTCGATTCAATGATTGATTGTATGAATCATTTTGAAAAATTACCCAAAAATGTTTTGATCTGTGTTCATGCTGAACGACAAACAGCAGCAATGGCAATATTATTATCACAGCTATATGATCGTCATGTACATATCTGTCATGTTGCACGTGAAGAAGAAATCTTATTGATTAAAAAAGCTAAAGAAAAAGGAATCAATGTTACATGCGAGGTGACACCACATCATCTATTTCTTTGTGAAGATGATTGTAAACAAATCGGTATGAATCGATCGAATGTTAAACCAAATTTGGTAACGGCAAAAGATCAACGTGCATTATGGGAAAATTTATCTGTTATCGATGTTTTTGCTACCGATCATGCACCACATTTAGTTTCGGAAAAAGATTCCGATCAAGCACCACCAGGATTTCCCGGTTTAGAAACAATGTTAGCATTATTATTGACAGCTGTGCGTGAAGGTCGTCTTAAATTGGATGATGTGATCAAAAGATTATATAATAATCCAATGAAAATATTTGATCTACCTGATCAACCGGATACATATGTTGAAGTTGATTTGGATGAAGATTGGATTATACCAACGGCAATGTCATTTACTAAATCACGTTGGACACCATTTGCCGGACGAAAGGTTTATGGCCGTGTTAGACGTATTGTTTTACGTAATGAAGTTGCATTTGTTGATGGTAATATTCTAGTGGAACCGGGATTCGGTCGAAATATTCTACAAACAATGGATGCTAATAAAATTCAAACTTCCAATTTACATCAATCAACATCATTGAATATTGAAACAAATGTTGTTGAAGAAACATTGTCGGATCATAGTGGTACTGATCATCATCATCACCATCATCATCAAGATCTTCAAAATAAAATGATTCCAAAATTATCATCATCATCAACATTACAACAACAAACAACAGAAATATATTTGGAAATGTTTAAAGAACTTGGTATTAATGATAAATCATATTCACCAAGAATACCACAAATATTATCCATATCACAATCACATGGTTTATCCGGGAAAAATATTCTTTCGGTTAAAGATTTTAACCGAGAACAATTACATGAAATATTTAATCTAGCACATAAATTACGTATATGCGTTGCAAAAGAAAAACCATTAGATCGTAGTAATGGTGAATCGCCAATAGCTGTTGAAACAATTTTAAAAGGAAAATTAATGGCATTAATATTTTATGAAGTTAGTACACGAACATCATGTTCATTTGCTGCAGCAATGCAACGTTTAGGTGGTGGTATTATCTATATGAATGTTGAAACATCATCCGTACAAAAAGGTGAAACACTTGAAGATTCTGTTGCAATGATGTCTAATTATTCGGATGTTGTTGTGTTGAGACATCCGCAAAAATTGGCTGTACAACGTGCATCGAAAGTTTGTTTGAAGCCAATCATCAATGCTGGTGATGGTATTGGTGAACATCCAACACAAGCATTATTAGATATATTTACTATTCGGGAAGAAATCGGTACCGTTAATAATTTAGTGGTAAGTTTTATTTTAATTAAATTAAATAAATCAATAATAATTATGATATTTTGTTATTTAGATAACACTTTGCGGTGATTTAGCTAATGGTCGTACTGTACATTCATTGGCACGTTTATTAACACATTATCAAATTACACAGATGAATTATGTATCACCACCACAATTACAAATGCCTGATGAAGTTAAAGAATTTGTTCGTTCGAAAAATATCATTCAAAAAGAGTATGATTCGTTGGAATCAATTCTTTCGGAAACTGATGTTCTTTATATGACTCGTATACAACGTGAAAGATTCCAAGATATGAAAGAATATAAAAAATATTGTGGAATGTATATTATAACACCACAATTGATGACCAAAGCTAAAAAACGTATGATTGTAATGCATCCATTACCAAGGGTTAATGAAATATCGTAAGTTTGGCTTTTTTTCGTTTAATTTATTTCATTTTAATCAATTCATTAATTTCGTTTAACATTTTTTAGACCCGATTTCGATAATGATCCACGTGCTGCATATTTTCGTCAAGCTGAAGGTGGAATGTATGTTCGAATGGCATTGTTAGCTATGGTTCTTGGTAAAGTTTAACCATACACCGTCATAAAAGAACCGATATTTTACTGCCGAAAATATTTTCAAAATGTTTTTCATAAACAGTACAATTTTCTCCTGGAAATAAAATTTTTTTTATCAAAATTGAAAATTAAAGTGATTTTTTTTACCTTTAACAAATTCTAATGAATTTCTTAATTTAAGATTTCTTAATTGAAAAAATTTATAAACTTGATGAAAGATTTTCGTATCTTTGGTGGCATAAGCTGTTTCAAGAAATTTCCTAGCGGATACACTATAAATATCACCATATTTTTCCAAATATCTTAATGCACGAATAATTTGATTTTGTGACAGTAATACTTCAATAATTTCATCGTCGGTTTTATTTAAACGTTTTAGCATATCCAATCCAAGTTGATAACCATATGGATATTTTTTATTCAATGATAATAATAAACAAGCTAAATGTGTTGAATCATTGAATACATGATATTGTAAAAATTGATGCATTTGATAATAATTTCCCGATTTGATTAAATAATTAATTAAAAATTCATAGATAAAAAATTCAATTTCTATATCATGACTAGATAATGAATAAACATATTCAAATATTATTGCAATACCCAAATGATTATCAATATCATCTTCAGTAAAATAATCAAAAAAATTACTTAATATATCTTTCTGGTCGATTGTTGTACGGGTTTTTTGCCGTACATAATCAAATGATGATGATGATGAATCCATTGGAGTATTTGTATTGCTGAATGATTCTTTATATGTAAGATTTAATTTATTAAAAACTAATGATAAATTTCCGATAGGATTTTGTCCATATTTTTTACTAATTCGTACAATATTTCGACAAACTTTCAATATGTTTTGTTTAGAATTTCGTCGTAATAACAAAAAATCAATCAATATCGGTACATTTTTGATTAATCGTTCAATAAATTCTAGATTTAATTCTAAAAACCATAGACAACCATATTTTGCATCGATTATTATGTTTGGTTGAAATATTACCCAATTTGGTGAATCTATCAAGAAATAAATATGAATAATTCAATTTAGAGAATATAACAGATTTTTTTTCACTAATCAACTTACAAAGATCATAATCAATAACATTATTAATCTTATATGGTCGAATTGTACATTTTGATATGATTGGTAGATGAAATTTTATCTGATCATTAATTTCGTTTGCCGATAAATTAATATCAAATATCATTGAACTTTTTGTTGTTTGATGATGAATAATAACTAAATCATCGACTATATTTGTAGCAAATCGACCGGTCAGATTGGTAATCAAAATATCTGTTTTTTGTGGTTGTAAATCTTTTCTATTCATTTTGATTGATCGATAATATTATTTGATGTGAATCAATCCAAAACAAAATAACAAACTTACTTATGAAATGTATAGATAATAACACAGGCACCAAATTGATCTTTAGCAATTGGATGATGTCTTAGAATCAATAAACGAGGTTTACCATATCTTTAAAACAGATAATTTTACGAAAAATTAAACTCTTTCCATCCAAAATAACAACTTACAAATTTGCAACAGTAACATCTCTTTCTTGTAGATAATTATTATTTGTATTTTTAGTCCATTCAACTTCGAATTTATTCAATCGATATACATTGGATAACTATAGTGGTAGGAAAAGAAATCAGAGATCAGAATCAATTTTTTTCCAAAAATGAAAATACCCTGAATGAAAATGGATGAATAACATTTCCAAATGTTCCGTTTGCAATCAAAAGTATGCCCGATGCAGGCTATAATTAAAAGAAGAAAGAAATTATTTTTAGACCAACATTATTGAAATTTTCCACCCATACCTGAAACACAAACCAATCCACAGTTAAACTAAATGATTTCAATGATTTTAATGATTTTTTTTCAATCAATACTTGTAAATAATCGATACCATTATTCGATATGATTACTATTTCATTGTTATTTGTCCAAAAAAATCCAAGAATTTTACCATTTTTCTGCAAAATAATTAAAAATAAATTTCAAAAACTTGTTGTTGCTGTTATTTTTTTTATCCAAACAAATACCTTTAATTTATGAGTAAATATTTCTTGTGGTTGATTATTTTTGAATAGAAAAAATTCAACAAATTCAGTTGATCGTTGTAATGATAGTATTTCATAATTTGGTGAAAATTTTATCGAAAATATATTGCCACGATCTTGTATGCTGAAATTTAAAAAAAAAATGAAAAGAAAATTCAATTTGTTTTGACAAATGAATTTGAATTTCAACCAAATATTTCATACCAAAAATTCATAATAAATCCATCTGGATTTTTAACAATGATTGCTTCACTACCTCTATCGATTACAATGAAAACCTTTTTTTTAAAAAAAATTGAAATTAAAGAAATTGGAAATGGAAAAAAAATTCATTGAATAATCTCGTACCTGTCGATTAGATTCATCATAAAAAACGCTAACATTTTTCGATACTGGTTTAAAATCGATACGTTGATCACTTAATTGTAGAACATACTCTTCGTTTTCATTCATATTTCAGATTTTTTTTGTAATTATTCGAAAAAGGATTTAAAATCAATGATAATGATGGATGATAATAAAATCAACAAAATCCTACCCAAAAAAATACCTCAGAAAAAAATTGGATCCAAAGTTTATCCATTTTCAAGCATCATCTCCTATATGAATTGATCCAAAACAAAAAATTTTATCTTCGAAACATGTGTGTTAAACAAGACTGAATTTAATAAAATTCTTTTTGTTTAAATTTAACAAAAATCAAAACAAAATTAACCATGAGTTCACCATCAGAAAAAGCACTACAAATTCTTAAATATTTGCCACGTGTTAGCTTAAACAATCTGGTTAAAGATCCATATGCAATTCGAAAGGTTTGTTCACTTTTTTCTGTTTGTTTTCATTTGAATAACAATCATTTTTGTTTTTCATTGAAATAGAAACGAGGTAAATCAACAAAAGATTATCTAAAAGAATTTGCTATCAATAAAAGTAATCGTGAACGAAGACGTTTTTGGCCAGTTGGTTATGAAGGTGGTCGTACACCATTTTATATGAAAATTCCAATTGAAAATTATTATCGAAATTTTGGGTAAATTTTTTTATTTTTAAAAATTGCATAATAATAATAACCAAACTCATCATCATCATTGCAGACATCGACGTCAATATCCACCATTAAGTTTATATCAGCTGCAAATGTTAATCGATAATGGTGTTGTTGATCCATGCTGTCCAATTGATTTATCAACATTATGTAATTCACAATTTTATTCAATTGATCCATCATTATCACATTATGGTGTTAATCTTATTGATCAAGGTTTAGATAATTTTCGTAGTAAAATTAATATCGAAGTACAATATACAACTGAACCGGTTATTGCTGCTATCGAACGTAATGGTGGTCAAATAACAACAGCATATTTCGATATTAAAAGTGTTCAAGCATTAATGAATCCATTAAAATTTTTCGAACAAGGTTTACCAATACCAAAACGTTCTCTGCCAACTGAAGATGCATTTGAATATTATTCGAATCCGAAAAATCGTGGCTATCTTGCCGATCCAAAAGATATTGAAAAAGAACGTTTATTATTGGCACAAAAATATGGTTATGAATTGAAAAATTCAAATGATGATCCAATGATGACAATGAGAAAAAATCCTCGGCAAATATTTTTTGGTTTAGAACCTGGTTGGCTGGTTAATCTGCGTGATCAAGAAATACTTGCGCCAAGTAATGATGAATATAAAGAATATTATCGAAATTGATTTAGTTTTGGTTTGATCATTAAAAAAATTTATTGAATAAAATTTGTAAATTTCTTTTAGCATTTTCATTCATTGTGAATTTCATTTCATTATAAATTCTGTTTTTTTTCGATCACTTTTAATGAACCTGATGGAACATTGTTTCTTCGATACCATTTTTACAATCAGCCGGATTTGGTGCCAATTCATAATTGGCAATCAATATAGCATCACGATTTGTCTGATTCAGGAGAACAAAAATTTTTGAAAATAATTTCCATTAGCCAACAAGTGAAAACTTACCGGTGAAAATTCACCTCTCAAACCAATATAATAAACTTTAGTTGTATTGGCACCATAATTTTTTGGTATATGAATTGTCAGATGAAATACATTGGAAAATTTAACAATTTTCAACGGATATTCTAATGTACCGGTTTGATCTTGCATTATTTCAAATTCTTGATCAGCTTCAACACTGACATCATCAAAACTCATATCAGGACGATTTTTATATATACGTAAACGGCTAGGATGTGTTTCATCTTCACCACCGATAATAATGATTCCCTTCAATTTAATATTACCTGTAAAACTGAAAAAAATTTTATAAATTAAATCCGAATTACCAAATTACCGACAGAAAACACTTACGGAATTTTAAATAACAATTCTTCATCACAATCACTTTCGACAAACTGACAACAAACAAACAAAAAATTTTAATTTCAATAAAATTAATGAATTAAAAATGAATAAACTTACATTTTCCATATTTAATCTTTCTTCCCATGGTTTGAATACAAGTCTACCTGAACCTTCAACAGTTTCATTCAGACATTCTAATTTGGAAAGATCAATTTTCGTATATAAACTATACAATATACCAAGATTTTCTGGATCATTCAATGAATTATGACCATTACAATTATGATCACAATGATGTTGTTTGGACATTTTATTCGTTGTTTTAATGGATGAAATTAATTTTTTCTTTTGTTTTGAATATTGATACAGAACATCAAAAAAAAAAGTAAAAATGAGTTATCAAAATCAAAAAATAACCAATTTTATACGATGATGATCATTGTATAAACTGGGTATTCGAAAAATAGCATGGCAATTTGTTGGCAACATCATCACTCAAAAACTTCCTATGTGATCATTGTGTGAGCATATCATATTCATTCTTGAAAAAATAACCTTTTGATTTTCGGCAAAAATAATTCATTTTGGAACAATGTATCAACATAATTATCGTCGATCACAGCAACAACAACAACATCAACAGCAGCAGCAACAACAACAAAAACAAGGTTCAAAAGATTCACCGATTAAATGTGTTTATATTGATGGTTTGGTTGTATTGAAAATTATTAAACATTGTCATGAAGAAGGTAGTTCAAGTGAAGCACAAGGTGTTCTACTTGGTTTAGTATTCGATAATGCATTGGAAGTAACAAATTGTTTTCCATTTCCACGTTCAAATGATGATGAAGATAATGAAGAAGCAGCCGAATATCAATATACAATGATCCGGTATTTGAAAAATGTTAATGTTGATCATTTACAAGTTGGCTGGTATCAATGTAGCCCATATGGTAGTCAATTGAATAAAATCGAAACAATTGATTCACAATATTTGTATCAAGGTACTATTGAAGAATCAATTGTTTTGCTATTCGATCCGATTCGTACACAACGTGGATTTCTTTCATTGAAAGCTTACCGGCTGACAAAAGCTGCAATGAATCTTTGTAAAGAAAGTGATTTTCGTCCAGAAATTCTTCGTCAAAATAAAATGTCATTTGAAAAATTTTTCGAAGAAATACCAATTATTATTCGTAATTCACATCTTTGTAAAGCATTATTATTGGAAATTGATGAAGATATGCCTATTGATGGTGGCCGTCAATTATTGGATATTGGTGGATTTTCATTAGTGGAAAAAAGTCTGCAATCACATATAAAATCGGTTGAAGATTTAAATAAACAAACATCAAATCTACGTAATCAGATTATTAAACAACATGAAATTGCTAGAGAAAATATGAATCGTTCATTGGCTAAAATGCCAACAATGAGTGAAGATGAAATGGCCAAACTATTAAAACCATTCAAATTAACACCATTACAGCATTTGGAAAATCTTTTAAATTATTCTCAAACACATAATTTTTGTCAACAATCATCATTGTATTCAACACAAAATATTGGCAAACTTTTTATGGCTAAATCTTTACATAATAATTAAATTGATTGATTGATTGATTGGGAAAATTTTTGAAAAAATTTCTTTCAATTTATTAAATAAATAAAAATAATTTGTTTTGATGACTAGAATTATGACAAGTTTCGTTGGGAAAATTCATTAATATTTTTTTTCATAAATTTTTTTTTCTTTTCACTTGATTTTGTTGTTGATTAAATTCAATCGATTCTGATTCTTCTTCATGTAGAATTAGATATTGGAAAATTCTTTTCGGTAATATTTGTTGCCATCCATAATGATGTTCAAATGAATATGATTGTCGTAGAACATGTCTACATCTACATTTGAGAATTGAAAAAATTGAATTTTTCAAAAAAGAAAACACTCATATCATACCTATCTTGAAGATTAAGAAATTCTCTTTTAGCTGTAATCAATATAAATTGTGATTGTGCTGCTGTTGAACTGATTGTTGGATAAAGATAATCATCGATTGAATCCAATCCACCGAATGCAATACCAAGACATTGGCCATCTTTATAATAGGTAATTGTACCATTATGTCCATCATATAAACAACCGATTAATGTTGAACAATTTTCTTGAAATGGTTTTGTATATTGACGCCATTGATTATTATGCCAAACAAGACCTTTATGTGATAAACCCTGTGAATCAAAAAATCAAAAACAATAACAAATCGATTATCGATCGATCAGATTGCAAACCATACCCAACCGAATTTATTTTCACCAATCAAATTAATATATGAATCGGAATAAAGTTTTGCTTTGGATGTTGTTAAACCGATCATCATACTTGTACCAAATATACGATCTTTAAGTAATACTTCCCAATAATATTTACAATTTCGATAGATATTTATTGGTTTATTTCCACGTATAGCAGCCGTACCGCTACTCCAATCAATATGAAAATTAACAATACGACCATTGTTTAATATTCGAACCTTTTCAAACGAAAAAATAACAAAATTCAGATTAATTTTTTGTTGAGAAAAAAACACAGAATATAACACATACAGCATCTGATCGATCATCAGAATTCCATTGCCAATCATCATCGAATGCATTTGATAATGGTTTTTGTATTGATGACCAGGAATTTTTCATTAAAAATTTCATTGCAAATTCTTCAAATCAAACAAACATTTGATTTAAGAATTTTTTTAAAAAATAAAAATTGACTAGACTAGATATATTAAACGGCTAAATTGAACAATGGAAAAAATGAAAAAGTTCGGTAACCGTTGTGTTGTTGTTGTTACCACATCACCACTAAAAAGTAAATTTGATGGATGCACACATCTGGTGTTCGTGTGCATCACAAGAAACAAAAAATCATCACCCCAATATAAATACAAAAGCTATGCACGCGAACCGTTATTTATTTTTGTTTTATTCAGCCAAAGTGATGGGCCATTGTTCAGCCCTATGGTCCTTAGCAAAAAAAAAGTTCAAAGATCATCATCATCATCATTCATTCACCCGCCCATATTGTTCAAAAAAAAAATCGAAAAATAATACACCATTCGCCATCTATCGGTGGGATTTTCCATAGAGGAATTCAAATTAGAAAAATTTGAATTTTTTTAACATTGAAAATTTTATTTATAAATCCTTTATTCATTTATTTATTATTCAATCATATACAAATACAATAAAAGAAGAGAAGAGTAGAAAAATTGTTTTTAAATGTCAAAATTTTTCAAATATTTCATCAAATTTTGTTAGATTTTTTTAAATGTTTAGTATTTTTATAGGTATATAATTGAATAATAAAAATTCTTTCAAATCTAAATTTTTTTAAGCATATATTTTTTCTTTCGACAATTTTAATTTGTGAAAATAATCGGTGTGTGTGTGTGTTTAGGTAGGTAGAAAAAAACGATACGAATTACAAGTATATAGAAGTTTTTTCTTGTTTTTTGAGAATAATAAAAGATTAATTATATAGTAGTAATTATAAGAGAGAATAAAGTAAAGTACAATGTATGTATTTTGTTATGTAATGTGTGTGTGTGTGTGTGTGGATACAAATAATGATGAAAAAGGAGAGGGAAAAAATAAATGAGAGAGAGAGAAAAAACCAACATTATCATTCTGCAAAGAGAAAAAAAGTGAAGTATGTGATGTATCGAATTGAATTTTTTGTTTGTTTGTTTGGATATGGCCAAATGATGGGGTAGCCAAGTAAAGACGACGGTTCGAATATCAACAGAATAATTCATGAATTGATCAAAAATTTGTTATTATGTGGTTATTTTATCGATGAAAAAGGGAATCGATTCCTACACTTTAGACTTTTGAATATTTGTCAAAGATTAAGATGATGATAATGATAATGATGATGACGATGATGATGATCATAAATTATTCAGGGAATAGAGCACATCGACCAATAATTTTAGATGGATTCGTTGATCAAATGAAAACTTTTTCTTTTCAATTAATTATCATCCATTGCATCAGGCAGATCATATGGATTAATAATACCCGGTACAGATAATTGTCGTTGTCGTTTTTCAGCTTCTTTTTTCTGAAGTTCAGCTAATCGTTCTTCTAAGAAAAGATCACTATCATCTTCACCAGCAAATTCCTAATGTCAACAACAAAAAATTAGTTTGAAAAAAAATTCATAATCAAAATCAAACATACCCGAATTTGGACAAGAAAATCACGTAAATGTTCTTTAAATGCTACCACATCTTGATTAAGATTGAAAAATCCTTGCACAGTTACCTGAATTTGAGCATCAGTCAGATGGCTAAAAGCACTTTTCAACAAACTTGATACAAAGTCTTTGACAAATTGTACATTATCATATTGTTGTGGTACACCAGCAGCAGCAGCATTAGCAACACCATTCTGAAGGGCTGGATTGAGTGGCGCAGTTATTTTATTCATATCGACAATTTCAAACATAAAAGCCAAAATCCGTGCCTGCATTGTTAATCCAGCCGAATGTGATGTATCCGTAACAACAGAAAACATGTGTTGCATAATATCTGTATAATATGTTTGATAGAAACAATTTTTCATTTCAGCTGGCTGTTGCATCATATTTTCCATCAATGTTAATAAGATTTTTAATCCAGTATCGGCAACATTACGCATTGTATGTTTCAATGCCCATATAATTGAATCTAATACCAATTTAAATTGATTAGGTAATGTGTTGAGTAGGGCACTAAAACAATGTGTAACAACTTGTTGCAATAAAATATAAAAATTTATTCGATGTTCAGGATATTCTTCAAAATCTTTGTTGATCATTTCTAATGTACATTCAAATACGGCAACGAATATTGTTGGAACTTCTGGATTCATGTCATCCTATTTATTGATCAAAATTTAAAAAGAAAGGAAAAAATCAATTAAAGAATTTCAACAAGAATGCAACAAACCGTTATTTTCTTTATGACTGTCGACATTGTTGAAAGAACTTCAGGTTCTCTAGCCGAAGGCACAGGACACATTTTATAATCATTAAGAATAGCTTCGAGAAGACTTTGAATAAATTGTTCCACAATAATATCCGAACGATCAATCCATTCATTGATTAATTTAAGAATTTCTTTTTTTAGACCTCGCATAGCACGTATAATCGGTTGTTTCATGACTTCTTCACCATTTTTAGCAATGGCAGCCGAAATATGTTGACTCATTACTTTATACAGGCTTAACATGTCCATATAGATGAATTTCAATTGTTGAATATATGCAAATCCCAATGCTTTACAGGCATGATAATTTGTTTTTATAATATTATCTAGTTGTTTTATCGCTATGTGATCAGTAAGAAAATCGACATTGATCGCTGCTTTACGAATTATATCATTCCAAACTTGATTTGGTAGTGTCATATAGTTTTGTATCAATTTTTCTTGAATTTTTTCATCGGTTTGTGCGCTTATCATATAGCCCACTGCTTCGTAAAATGTATGAATCTGTTCAGAGAAACAAAATAATTACAATCAAATCAATCTAGATGAACACAAAAACAAACCTGATGTGGTTCAAGTTGATTGATAACGGTGGCCATATTTTCCAATATTTCATCTATAAATGGCTGTACTTCGCCCGGTTGTATTGTAATAAAATGTCGTCGACATTTATTAGCAATTTTGATAAATGTATCACAAGCCATATCTTGTACACCATCGTGTGTTTCTGATTGACAAGATTAAATGTTTCAAAATAAAATTTGGAAAACAAAATAAATAACTGAACTTACCATGCATAAATTCAAACAATTTATTAACAACTGTTTTCAAAAATTTCCAATATGCTCGAAGAAAACGTGGATATTGTCCCACTACATACATAATATTCGAAGCAATAATAGCTTTGTTATCTTTACCACGCTTTTGTTCACATAAACCCAATAATTCTTTGATAACAGTGACTAGAAATTTTCTCTCTTCTTCTTCTAACATAGCACCCGATATTGATCCGATCGCCCAGCATAGCTAAATTTTGTGAGAACAAAAAAAAAAAATAAATGACAATTTTTTGTTGTTGTTGAATTCACTTACCGTGTTTAAATTTTTCCACGACCATTCAGAACCATCAACTTGTTTTTTAAGTTTTTCATTCATTATATTTTCCGTATCTTGTGAATTTAAATGTGTTAAATAGACCAATGTTTCACGCATATTGTTATATAATTGTATTGAATCAGTGTCTTTCATGAATTCACGTACAACTTCACCCTGTTCATTTTCAACAACAAGTACTTCTTCTGGTTTGGCCATACGACCAATCATTATGTAACGAAGTTTGCTAAGCATTTCTTCGTAGATTAATCGACGCATTGGTATGGTTGACGATGCTACAACTCGATCATCTAATGGACATTCTTTGTACAATTGTTCCGTAAGTGATCCCCAATATTCTAAACAGATTTTGAACACTTCAACATCCTCCACTTGTGATATGACGATTAAATACATGACTGCCATTAATAATTGTTTACGCAAAGCTTCAGTTTCGTATAACTGTCCACGTTTTTTCAATAATGTTGATAAAAACATGGCCAAATTTTGAACAAAATTTTGATTTTCTTCAATTCCAGTTTCATATAGATTTTTTAAATCTTCAGGATTCGGAAGAATCTATTTTTTTTAAACACAAACACACAAAAGCAATGACATTTAAATCAAGATGCAAATATAAATATTGAAATACCTTATTCAATTGAAGCATAAATGTTTCAAACATTAAACAATAAACATCATCATACGAATCCACACCAATATTGGCTATCTCAGTCAAACATTTGAGGGTGATATTACGGAAAAGATCATATGGGAAAAACTAGATTGAACAACAACAAAAAAAAGATTATTTAGAAATTCTTTTTATTTGTAAATAATACCTTGAATATCAATGCATTGATTAGTCCAGTTTCAAAAATATAACCCAAAGGAATCCAATTAAGAAACCTTAATAATGTTTCCAATGTACAATAGATTAATTTTTCATTTCGAGAATCATCTAATACATATTGACAAAGTGAAAAAACTTCACGAAAATGTTGACACATTGTATCTTTAAGATGTTTTGATTTTGCCTGTGTTAATTGGCCAGTGGAAAAATCAAAAAGCTCTTCACTGTTTTTTTTCAAAGAATAAATATAATAAATTGATGATTGAAAAAAATAGTAAATCAAATGTTAAAACAAACCTTAATAATTTGAGAATAGTCATATTATTCATACATAATGTTTCACTTTTTTTACTGGAAGCACAAATATCCGATATAAAATTTGGCCATTTTTTTGGCCAATCTTGTTTCAAAATCTGTACCAATATCATATTCAATTTATTTAGATAAACTTTATCCTGTTCCATTGATATTGGATTGGTTGATGTTTTGATGATTAATGCAACAATGAATTTTTTAATATTTTCACATTGATTTTCTGGTATTATCTTCCATCTTGTTTTGATTAAATTTTCAAGTACTTGTAGGGCAAAATATTTTGTTTCCTTATTTTTCGCATATTCAAGTATACCATCTACACGTGTCCATGAATCTGGATGTTCTTTAAATCGGGTAAGAATTTCTTGGGCAATCTTTTGTGGTTGACCCTGAGTTGTATATAAACATTCGACAACCTGTTCTAATAGCTGTATATCGAATACACTTTTAAAATTCAATAATTGATTGGCACTTTCAACGGTTAATGTTTGATATTGATTTATGGCCGAAACCGTATTATTCGTTGTTGTTGCCGTATTATTCAACATTGTTATATGATTATTTGCTGTACCGTTCATTTGATTGACAATTGTTGAAGCCGATGTTGGTACAGTTGTTGTTTGAGATTGTGGTGGACAAAACATTGCCGACGAATCCATTGAATCCATATTTTTATTAATATGATAAAAAAAACCAAATTTCGATGATTTTCATGTATTCACACAAACACAAACACACAACAATAAAACAAAATCTAACAAACAAAAGAAAATTAAATTAATGACCTAATGATGATGTAATGCATTAAAAATTCGAATTTTTTTCTTTATTAAAAACTTACTTGGTGAAAATTCTTGAATTTTTTTTTCGTTTTTTCTCCCTTCTTCTGAACACACACACACACACTTATTGATGCCTGGTATATTATAATGATAATGGTGCTGGATGATGATTATATCGTGTGTGTGTTATATGCTAATTTTTTCAATGTTGATATGATGTGAATCAAAGAAAAATGAAATGAAAAAACAACAACCGATTAATTTGATTTAACTAGATTGATTTTCTTTTCTGTTTTGGTGATGTTAGTGTGTGAAAAAAGAAACAAAATCATAGTAATAATAATAAGACATTTGTTTGATTTCAATATTCAATATTCAATCAACAACAACAACACAACAGAAAAAATGAAAAAATCAACAGCTCAATCAACACAACACGGAATGGAGAGAGAGAGAGGGAGAGAGAGCGTGTGTGTGTGTTAATAGGAAACAAGACCAAAATGACAATGTGTGTTTCAATATTTTGATGATGATAATGAAGGAATAAATCGATGAAATGTTTTTTTTTTGAATTTATAACATCATTGTCAATCAATGAATATTTTTTGGGGGGAGAGAATTATTTAAGAGAAAATAATCTTGGTATATGTTTGTATATGGTTTATATATTCTTAGTATATCATTTTTTAATCACCAAGACAATGGGCAATACACGAAAAAAAAACATACACACACTAAACACAAGCAAAACCACCACATACAACAAAACACATTTACACAGACAAAAAAAAAGAAAGAAAGAATCCGAGGCAATGTGAAATCTTTATATTAGAAGATAGATATGTTATTGTGTGATGCCACCACCAAAATAAAAAAAAGAAGATAATTTTCTCCGTTTATTTTTTTTTTCTTCTCATTCATTCATTTACCAACAACAACAACAATACCAACCATTGATAATGATGTTTTAGGAGAAAAGAATCATATTTTTGTTTTTTTTGTAACATTAAAAAATATATACTCAGCTAATAAACACCACGATGATGAACAAATAATAATAATGATGATGATGTTCAAAATGAAACAACGAAAGAAAGAAATAAAGACAAAAACAACATCGAATCGAATCGAATAAAAAAAAAATAAAGATATAAACGTTCGATGGCGGTTAGGTAGGCGGAGAATACCAAAAAAAAAAAACGTTGGTTATTGGATGAAACGAGTGAAGTTGTGGTAGTGGAATTCAAAATAGATGAAAAGAAACGAGGGTTCTCTGTTCGAAAATATGATATTTATGAATCACCCGAAATACTAGCAGCATATATTTTGAGTTTTGCATATTTGTTTGGATTCAAAAAAAAAAAAATTACTCCGCCCATCCATATTTACGTCATTGTTCATTCTCACTTTTGCTACTACCTTTTTTTTTGAATGGAATTCTTTTGAAAAAAATTCGCGAATAAAATTGAAATTCTTTTTTTTTGTTTAAAATGCAAAAAACCCGCAAAAAAATTATTTTTTAAAAAATTAGGATAAATGGTAAAACAAGTGATAAAATTGAAATGAAAAATTTGTTCAATCATATTATAGAATGTGTGACAGAAGTGTGAAAATTTTTAGTTGTTTATCATTTTAATAAAAATTTTTTGTTTCCTATTTTTATCTTTCTTCACGAAGCTTCAAACATCATAGAATGACGTTCAATATGAGCAATTCTGGCCATCAATGGTCCAAAAAACGAAATAGCCAATCCAATCATTAAAAATGGAATCATTTTCATTGGTACCTCTACAACGGTAAGATGTTTTGTTTGTTCATTATTAAGATCTTTTAATCCGGTAAAAAATCGAATAGCCCATTTGGCAAATAATTTTCCTAATGATCGTAATGCAAATAATGTCAATAATCCAATCACAAAACGACCAATAATAAATGGCATATCATTCAATGATGGTAATAAAATTTGATACAATTCATTCGAATGACTAGAATGATCACGTATAATGGCCAATTGATAATTAATCCATGAACCAATATAAACACCACCACTAGCTGATATTATTGATATTGTATCACCACGTGATGGTGATTGTTTATTCGATACAGGATATAATAATGATGATATTATCAATATGGCAGTAATAATCAATGGTGTAAATGAATTATGAATAAGAAACTGATCCGTAATGCTTAGAATTGGTAATACGAATGCCAATAGAATACAGGTAAGTGATAGACCAACCAATATATCCTTTTGGAAGAGAAAAAAATGAATAATTTCTATTTTCATTTTTAGGATTTGAACAACGAATAACTTACCAACACTGAATGCATTCCAAGATAAAGCCTTGAACAACATATCAATGTACACCAACAAATTGAACAAAATATAAATAATAATGGTGATATAATTTCATAACGATTATTTAATAATGAATATAATGTTAATGGTACCATTGCGGCTAACATTGCATGTGTTGATGGCATACCATATTCAAATGAATATTCTGGCTCTAAAATCAATATATTTGGACCGGATGGCCGTGGAATACGAAAAATTTCTTTCAATGCCTGGCCAGTATACATTAATATTGCCCAAATTAACATCAATTGACGACAAATAAATGAATCCAGATTCCAATATAGATATGAAAATGATAATGCATAAAATACTTCATAACCCAAACGTGCACCAAATGAAAATAGATAATACCATAGATAATTACGAATCAGATATTTTTTCTGTTTCGGTTGTTGATTAGTCGATGGGATTGAAGAATGAAATGAAGATTTTCTATTTCGATCATCATCTTGATCATCATCATGAATAATTTCTAGACCAAATAATTTTTGAAATCTTCCAACATGAATTGGATCATGTAATGAATAAATGGTTTGATATAGATATTTTAATTGCATTGTTTTTTGGTTTTTTTCAGTGATAATTTCTTTCTGTTTCCTTTATTCGTTATTGCACAGATAATTTTCGTCACCAGCAAAAAGAAAAAATTCGTTGTTAATTGATGACGATGATAATTTGTAATGGAATGTTGGATGTTTGCTTGTTGCTTGTTTTAATATTGGCTGATGAGTAAAGTCATTGATTGATTATTTTATGAATCATAATCATCATCCTTGATATAATTTGTTGTTATTGTTGTCTGCTTTTATTAGATTTTTATTAATGATCATCGATTGGGCTAAAAGCAAAAACAACAACAACAATAAATCCAAGTAAATGTATCACGGCCTTCCTCATCATCATCATCATCGATCACCACAACCCTCTTTTTTTCGTTGTTCAACAAGCATCTACGCCATCTAGTATCAGGTAAAATCAAATGAAAAAAATTCAAATTTTATTTTATTTAGTCAAAAGAAAATGTTGTTCAAAATTAATTCCATGTTAATATCGGTGCTGTTTGTTGATCACGTTTGTTTTTATGTTTTTTATTACTTTTGTTATTCATTTTTAAACGATTTTCATATAAAATTTCTGTAAATAATGATGATACATTTTGTCGTTGTTCGAAAATATTTTCAAAATATTTTAAACCAACATTATTTACGGCAGCTAATTCTTCAATCGATTCTAATGCTTGCTGCATTTGAATACGAATCTGATCGATCAATGTAATCATTGTTGTTGATGATGATGATTGAATTTGTCCAAAATTAACACGAATCAAATAACAACAACAACGTGATATTAATTCAATTTCCCAACGACGTTCCAATAATTTGGATAGTATTTCTAATAATTTTTGTATATAATAAAATGGTAATTGTAATAATGTTTCTTCAATTTCATTTGATGGTATTCGTTTCAGAATTTCCAACATAAAACGATATGGACATTCAGTTTGATAGATCATCATGTTTGGATTACATGATTCACGTGTTGGTGGTTTTTTCCCATCATTATCATCTTTTTTGGTACGATTTTCATATTGTTTCAATTGTTGTTGATAATGATTTAATTTTTCAATTTCTTCCAAATAAATATCGATACTTTCGATTAATCGTTCAATCGAACGTATAGTATCGATTGTTTTTTTCTGTGCACGACCTGATTCTTGTTCCGAATTCGATGTTGTTATTGATTCACCCGGTACAATTGTATGCGATTCAAATTCTTTATTGAATTCTTTTTCATTTTCCAATTCTTTTTCCTCTTCCAATATTAATGGTTCATTAGTTTTTTCCCAAAAACGTATAGATTTATCGTGTGATACTGTAACCATATATTTTCCATTTGGTGCAATTGCCATTGACCATATTTCACCATAATGTCCTTCTAATGTTGTTATTTTTTCAAATGTATCAGCATCCCACATTTTTATTCGATGATCTTTTGATGTTGTAAAAAATTGATGTGTTTTCGGCAAGAATTGTACACCAAGAATATTATCATCATGTGCAAATAATGATCGATGACAATCACCAAAATCCATACCCCAAATTTTAATATTTTTATCTGATGAACCAGTTACAATCAAACGATTATCGGATGAAATATCCATACAAAGTACAGGTAATTTATGACCATAAAGTGATAGAAAAAATTTATGTGTATCACAAAAATATATTTTCACACAACTATTCAGCATTGCAACAGCGATAAATTTTGAATTTGGTGCAATTTTTGTACATATAACACCTTCTTCAACTGATAATGTACGTTCATGATTAATGGTTAAAATTCGATTTGATTGTTGAGGTTGTTGTTGTTGCTCTTGATCACCATTATCATTATCATTATCAATTATTAAATTAAATGACCAAAATTTGACCTGTTTATCTTCACTACCGGTAACAATACCAGTCAAATCGGGTAATAAATTCAATGACCATATTGGTTGACCAACATGACCATGACTATTATCATCATTATAATCGTTTGCATCGATTGTTGATTGTATTTGTGCTGTTTGTAAACATATTATTTGAATTTTACCCATTTTTGTTCCCAAAATTGCATGTTTATTTCCAGGTACAAATATCATACATAATGGATATTCATTATCATTATTATTGATTGTATTTATACAACGACAACTTGATTTATTCCATAATTTTATTGAATCATTACTTGCTGTCAATATTGATTGACTATCTGAACTTATTGTTACTGTACGTATATCATTACGATGTCCAATTTGATTTATTATGGATATTTGTTTTGATTGTTTAATTTTTTGCAATTTATTCAATAATATTATTTGTTGATATTCAATTTGATTATTTGATAATAATAATGATAAACGATATTCTTGTTCATCACTATCGATTGATCGAATAAATCGGATATCGATTGAACAAATTTTACCACAAGTTTTTATCGTATCTAAACGTTCAATTTCATCTGATAGGACAATATTTTCGTTGGTTTCTTTTATTTCTAAATCTTCATTTTCTTCCAATTCTTCTTCTTCACGACGACGTTTTTTTTCTTTACGAATACGTTTTTTCATTTTTACAGAAATTTCTTCATTTGAACGCAATTTAAATAATTCAAAAAAATTATCTTTACCATGACAAATGAGAAGATTTTCTGTTTGATCAACATAAATATTTGTTACTTTTTCCATACTTTTTCGTAAAATTGTTCCGAAATTTTCAATTAAAATAAAATTATCATCATCAGTTTCTTCGATATCATCATCATTATCATTACCAAGTAATTCTAATCGTTTTAAACGTTTAGCTTGTAATTCGGCTGATTTTCGTTGAAAATTTTCTCGATCATTTTCATCAAATGTTAATTTCCAAACTTTTAATTCAGAATCTGAACCACCCGAAATGATTTCAGTATCATCACGTAGAAGAACAAAACTCCATACTTCAGTACGATGACCGACTATGGTACGAAAACAATGTTGTGTTTCAAGATTCCATAATTTTATAAATGTATCGGATGATGCTGATATCAGAATCCATGAATGTTGTTGCATAAATTCCACTTTATTTACAGGACCTTTATGGCCTTTCAGACGAAACAAACCAGATTGATTGACAACATCCCAAACAACTATTTCAGTATCCTTTCCACCTGATGCAATACGTAAACCATATGGATCGAATGCAATACATTGTACACAACCACGATGACCCGAAAATACCACTTTTAATCGACGTTGACAATTTTCTTGACAATCATAAACACGTATACAACCATTATGATGTCCACTACAAATCACCATACTTTTATCATTAAATGCCAAACATGATATCATTGAATTTTTCTCTGAATCATCATCATTAGTGAAACGTTCAATTTGTTGACAGGTTTTAAGATCCCAGAAAATAATATCATCACATGCGGCTGTAGCACAAATACGATCTTTCGATATCATTTCAGGCCATTGATGAATCAATTGTATTCCTTGATGACATGGTGAACCAATAACACCGAATTTTTCACCCGGTATCCATCGTAGATATTGTTTTGTAATACCCATTTTTCGGGAAAAATCTTTATGAAAAACACAAAATAAACAAAAATTCCGACCCAAAAAAAATGAGCACGTGTTTTTTCGAAAATCACATGGTCATTTCATTTGTGTACATGCCCATTTTTTTCTTTTGAATCAATGCCACATGACATTTTTATTTATTAGATTTTTCCTGAAATTATAATTTTCATTTTGATTTAGTTGATCGATTGATTTTGAAAAAAAATCATGAGTTATGAAGAACAACAATCAGATGAATTGGATGCATTGCAAGCAATTTATCCAACTGAATTTACATGTATGTTTTTTGTTGTTTGTTTTTAGTTGAAAACTAATTTTTTTTCCATAGTGTTCAATGATAATGGTAATCGTTCGACATTGGATGAAAATGAATTACGAAAATTTTCAATAAAAATATCCAGTGAATTTAATGAAAATGATGAAGATGATTCTGAATCGGATAAATGTATAGAGAGTGTTTGTTTGTCACAAATAAACAAATTGATTAAAATAGATTTTTTTCGTTTTTATAGATGAACTTGAATTATTGTTTCGATTGCCAAAAAATTATCCCGATATTGGACCTACGGTAGAGATATTATCATCATCAACAAATATTGAAGATTGTGATGAATTAGAAATAATGGATATACTGAACGATATGATTGCCGAAAATATCGGTACGGTTATGATATTTACATTGGTTACACGTACATCCGAATGGTTGAATCAATTGAAACAAAGAAAAATTTTTGAAAGAAAAGAAGCCCAACTAAAACGTAAACAAGAAATCGAAGAATTGGAAAGAAAAAAATTCGAAGGAACACGTGTTACAGTTGAAACATTCATTGCATGGAAATTAAAATTTGATGCTGAAATGGCTGAATTAGCTGCCAGGAAAAATAAAGAAATGAAAAAAGATGATCCAAATAAATTGACCGGTAAAGAAATGTTTTTACGTGATAAAAATCTTATCGATTCGGATTTAAATTTTGGCGATATTGTTGCCGGTTCAGATGATTTCGATGATGTTGATGTTAAAGTGGATGAAAGTTTATTTCAAGATTTGGATGTAAATGAATTGACGGTTGATGATGATGATGATAATTGATTTTATTTTTTTTTAATGATTTAGTAAAAAAACCAATATGTTATATAATAAAAATTTATCAAATTCCTTTTTTTTGGTGGTACTTTCATTTATGAACGGTGTTGGAAAAATTCCAATCACGTGTTTGATTTGCACGCTTGTTTTTTCTATTGATTTTTTTTTCCGAAAAACTTATTTTGATTTTTGTTTGTTGAAGAAAATGACTAATAATTTTCAAATTGGAAGTCTAACCGAATTGGTTGAACGTAGCGGAATGAAAATGATGAAGAAAAAGAAACCAATTGATAAAATGAAATCATCATCACCAGTAATGAAAAAAATTATGAAGATGAAAAAATCGACCAAAATGCAAACGAAAAAATCAATTATTTTGAATAAAAAAAAGAAGACACTTAAAAAACTTACAACAATAATCGAACCGGCAAAAGATTCTGATGATAATGATGATGATGATGTTGATCAAGAAATGAATGTTGGCGATAATCAAACGATTCCGGAATCGAATGATGATGATAATTCAGAGAAACAAGATTCAGAAAAACAAATGCGTACATTATTTATTGGTAATCTTCCAGCAAATTTTCCCATGAAAGTAAGTTAATTATTTCATTTTTTCAATTACAACCTGAATCTGATTAAATTTTTCTCTGTGTTCTGCGAATAGAATCTGAAGAAAATTCTTGAACAATATGGTAAAGTAATAAGTATTCGTATTCGTTGTGTAGCGCCAGCTAAAATAACATTATCGAAAAAAGTAGCTTTTCTTTCGTAAGTATCCAAATATGATTTCCAACAAAAAAAAACTAATCATTCAAACCAATCGAAATAGAAATCAAATAAATTCAAATAAAAAAACTGTCAATGCATATGTTGTGTTTAAACAATCGGAATCAGTGCAAAAAGCATTAGAATTGTAAGTTGATCGTTTTTATCGTAAAAAAATCAAAGTTTAATTTAATTTTGTTCAAAAAATACAGAAATGGCACCAAATTTGAAGAACATACCATACAGGTTGATTCACTTGAAAATGATCGTCATTATGATCATTCAAAATCATTATTTTTAGGAAATTTATCATTTAAAACTACTGAAGATGAGGTAAACAAAAATTTTTCTCGTAAAAATTTTCAAAAATATTGATTTTTTTCTGTTTTCATAATCCATGAAAAGCTTCGTGAATTTTTCGACGAATGTGGTGAAATAAAATCCGTACGTATTGTACGTGATTCCAAAACTGGTATTGGTAAAGGATTTGGTTATGTAAATTTTGCTGATAAAGATTCGGTTGTATTGGCATTGGAAAAAAATGGACAAATGTTGAAAAATCGTGAAATTCGTATTAAACCATATCAATATAATAATCAAAATGATAATAATAAATCATCCAATGATAAAAAGATTAAAAAATTGAAGAAAAAACATCAACCAAAATCTGATGATGGTTTTCAAGGTGAATTTGGTGTGAAAAAATCAAAAAATTTAACCAAAAAATCCAATAAAAAAAATCGTCTGAATGCATCGAAAATTCGTAAACAAAAGAAAACAATTGCACAGATTATGAATAAAAAATAAGAATTTTATTTGTCGGTTTAAAAAAAAAAAAATTCAATAAAAAATTTTTTTTCGTTTGTTTGAAATATATTGATTGATTTATAGATATCACATTTAGAAATTAACAAAATTTTGTTTGTTGCCGGTCAATATGAATCACCGGGGTTGAATATATCAATTGATTTAAATGATTGACTTTATGGTTTCATTTGATCATCATCATCATCATCTTCATCATGGTGATCGATATTATCATTAATTTTTTGTAATTGAATTCGTAAATCATTATCATTATTGGCAAAACAACGTTTGAAAACAATTTCCAATAAATTCAATGGTAAAATATGAAATAATTGTTCAGATAATTGTAAATTGGTGGATATTGTTGATAAACAAATACGAAATAATGATTGTGGTTGAAATTTTATTGTAAACATATCTTTAGCGAATATATGCTATTAGTGAGAAAAAAATAAATATCAAAATGATTTCAATTTTGTAAATTACTTACATTATATTTTGGATTACGATGATAAGAACTAATCAATTCTTTTGTTGCACCACCAAGTACTAAAACTGGTGTTGAATTTAAAAAAAATTAATTAAAAACCTTGAATATTCAATAAACACTTACTTTCACCAAATGTTGATAATGTTGCTGAATGCCAAAAACGTGGTTTTTCAAACGGCAAAATAATTTCACGCCATGTATATGATCGTGTATCAAAGATCCAACAATCTTTTAGCGGTTGATTATCATGTGAAAAACCACCATAAAGTACTAACATTTGATCGGATACAGGTGTTAATGTATGCCATGATCTTCCACGTACCGGATGATTAATATTATTTGATTGTATCATTGTCCAACACATTGTACGCATATCTAATCGATACATATCATTCATACGTTCACGATTCATACGGCCACCAAATAGATATACATAATGTTGATGATCAATTTTGGATGCAGCACATGCTGCTCTTGCTGTTGGTATTTGACCTGATTGTTTTGGCCATTTCCATTGATTTAAATCTGGATCATAATAAACTAATTGATTATTCCAACCACGTATATAATGCCAATGTGATGATTGATCAAATATAAATTGAAATTGATAATTTTCATTCCAAATACGCGGTACTGGACCATAACCACCAAACAGATAGAATTTATCATCATATTCCCAGCAAACATTTTTATCACATGGTAATGGTTCAAATGAACACAAATCACTAACATCAGGTCTTATACGTTGCCATTTTAATGTACAAAGATTTAATCGATGTAATGTATTTAGATTTCCTTCTTCCGAAAAACCACCAAACATATAAAGATAATCATTATTGATTATTGTTGCACATGCATTGCTACGTTCTAATGGCATATCATCATCTTTATCACCAGATTCAGTTTTACATGTTTTTTTAATCCTTTGTTCGAAAAAAAATATATAAAAATTATTTCTGAGAAATTCAATAAAAAAAACTATACCATTTTTCAACCATTTGATCATAAATCCATATCTCTTCGGATGGTCGATAAAAAGCAGTTGAATTTTCCTAAATATTTCAAACAAACAAAAAAAATCAAATAAAAATTGATAAGATTTTAGCTGTTTAACTTTTGAACTCTTTTTTTTGGAAAACTTTCCAATCAATTCTTATCATCATCATCATCATTATCAGCAGTGTTTTAGAAATAAAATCTTGTCACCAAGTACTTTTTTTTGAAAGAAAAAAAACTGGTTTCATGTTCTCAATCCAAAATTCAATTTGATTTTATCTAATCAATAAGAGACAAACACGTGAATATGAAAACAAATTTGTTCATTCAATTTCTTCAATATGTCCTTCATAAAATAAATATAGAATAAATCAAACAAAAATCATATTTGATGTTGGACTTTGAATGATTAGTGAATGATAACAACAACAACAAAAAAAAACTGGAATCTCGCATGGCATTTTGTATTTATTCAATGTTTTTGTTTGTTGGATGATGATGATAAGCGTAAATATGTGTGTTGATCATATGTTTTTTTTATGGGGTTGGATGATTGGAAAATTTTCAAAACAAAAACACACGCTGTATGATTGATGCTTACTTTATAGCCTTTAAATCCGGATAACATAATTACATAACCATTATGTGATACAGTTATATGACCAATATTAATACCCGGATCATTTTCAAATTGTTGTTGTTGTTTAATCATTTGTTGAAATTTTATCGTTGATAATATTGATGGTGGTGATGAAGATGGTGGTGATGTCGAAGTTGATGGCATTGATGATGTTTCATCCGTATTAGTTATATCGGTCATCATTGTTGTATCGATCGGTGTAGGCATTTTTTCAATGAATTTTTGAAAACAAAAACAAAAAATTAAAATTTTCAAAATACGTCGTTGAAGAATTTCACAGTAAAAATTAAAAACAAAATTCAAAATGTTGAAAAAAAAATTCTCGTCGTTGTTTTGGTTAAATGAAATGTAAAAACTTTGTCGTCGTTGAAAACACTAACTGAGAGTGGTGTAATGCTTAATAAAGAATATTCTCGAACCAAAAAATTGGCGCAAAATCAAATTTTTCTTTTTAATATATCCAAAACGTAGAATATACAATATCACATCATTGTTGTTGTTTTATAACTTGATGAAATCATTTTTGTTTTCTTTTCTTTTTTTCCAATGAAAAATTTACATAAAAATATGATGCGGCTTCTTCTCTATCTATCTATTGATAGATGTTTGCTAATATGAATATGATCGAGAAGGACAAGAAACTTTTGATGATGATGATGATGATGAAAAAACAAATCTTGTTTTGAATTTCAACATCATCATAATTTTGTTTCCTTAAATTCTCTCTTTCAATATATTAAATTTAAAAAAAAAAACGTTATGAGTATTTTTCCATTTCGTCTGTTGTTGCTACAATATATGTCATGTGTGTAAAGATTATCATCATCATTATCATCATAAACAGACATTTTCCATCTTGTGTGAGCATCCTTAATATTACACATGTGGTTAGTGTCGTTTGACGCAGCATTTTTTCTTCTTCTCAATTTAGTTGAAAAAATGATCAACATCATTAAAATCAAGACATCCAAACAACAACACAAACTTTTTTTCGAATGTTTTGATGATGCATAATGCATATGATAGGATTCTTTGAAATATTTCAATTTCAAATTGAACATGCGTGTAGATAAGTTTAATGGTTTATTTTTCTATAAAAGTGAGGAAGGGGAAGCGGCCGGGGAAGAAGTGGGGGAAAAAAGAGGAAAAGATCATCAGTTCAAATGCACTTACTTTCAACGATGATCTTTCTTTGTTTTTGCGTAAATTTCAGATTCATTGACCTTATTGTCATCCAAAAAAATAAACATTATTATAATTCCGTATTTAAAATAATAATAATTTTTTTTTCGGAAAAATGAAAAAAAAAATTCGAAACGTAAATCGAATGTGATATTGTCAAATCCACATACACACTTGTTTTAAATTGCTTAATATAGATGGCATGATACTTCAAGCGATGAAATGTAAAAAGTTTTGTTATCGAAATTTTTTTTTTCGATTTAGATTTGAAAACATTGTTGTTTTTACGATATGGGTGGATATAATGATTAGGGGTACTACAAGTTTATAAAACTTTCTTTTTGAATATAATTTGAGCAGAGGTAATTATAAATTTTAAAAAAATCATCGATATTTAATGTTGCCTTGGTATAGGATAAATGTGTGTAAATATGTTAAGAAAAGTAATTTAAATTTTGTGTAATGTATGTTTATTTTGTACAAATTGATGTTGTGTAATTGTAATTCGTGTCTTAATGTTTAACATTGTGCTTTTGTTAAGTTCTTGGTTTAAATATACCTATTACATCATTTGCTTTAAACATAAACCATCGACCGATTAAGCAGAAAAATAATGGAATTCCAATAAGACAACTAGTAAAATTCATGGCCCAATTTGAATAAAACCAAAATTCTTCTTTATTTTTATTATCATATGGATAACAAAATGTTTTTACTGGTTTCATAAATGGTCGACAAAAATTATCAAATTGATTCTTTGTTGCTCTATCTGTTAATTCACCCAATGTTTTATTACAAGAACTGGCAATTTCTATTTCACACTCATTTTGAAACATAACAAAACAACAAAATTTCACTGATCCTAAATACTTTTGTTGTTGTTGTTGTTGGGTGGTGATGGTAGGAATTAAAGTTGTTAAACAAAAAGTGATTGATTAAAAAAAATTCAAGTTTTTCAAATAAAAAAAATGACTTACATAATCATCAGGTGTAATTTCAAATCTATTTTCCATTTTTGTTTGACAATCAAGATAATCACGAACTTTTTGTCTACCACATTGTTCAGGCAAACCATTTGGATGAAATCTTGGTTTATAAGCAAATGATTGACAATTAAACATTGGAATAATTATGATCATCATTAGCATCAACGATAAAAACATTTTCACCACCATCATTTTTTTGTTCTATTGTTTTCAAATCGGTGAATTTCAATGAAAAAAATATTGTCGATTTATTTCTCGTTCTCGAATAAAAAAAATATTTTTTTTTCGCACAAATCAATTGCCAAACATATTATTTTATATTGGTGCAAACAATATAACCCACAAATTTATTGATTAATTTAATTTTCAACTTTCAAAATTAACCAAAATGTTTACAAAATTAATTGATTATTTGAATGGTAACAATAACCATTACAAAAAAAATCATGATGCCATTCAAACAAATTATGACCATCATGTTGAATGCATCTTAGAATTGTTGTTTGTTTATTTGTTGTGGTGGTGAGAGTCTCTACGATCAACATATCAGTTATTAGAAATAGGAATAGAAATATTCAATATCCAATGTTTCTTTCTGTATTTTATTTTTGTTCTTTGAATAAATTCTTTGCCACAGAATGGCGATTGGTTGATGCGATATGGGTGATATGATGATTATTGAAATTCAATTTTGTTTGATTCGATTTCCCTTCGTTCGTTTTTAATCACTTAATCATAATCATGGTGTGTGTGTTTGTTTCACCATTCGAAGAAGAAAAAACAAACTAATCATATGGAGATTATCATAGTGCGAATTTGGATGGTGATTTTAATTTCAAAAATTTCAAAAACAAAATGATGGATTTGTTGGAATTAAAGATTTAACAGAAACAAAAACAAAAAACAAAAAACACGTGACATAGGGATCATATAGAAGAAAAATTTGGATTTGATTGAATTTTGATCAAAAAAAGAAGAAAATTTTGAATCAAAATTCAAAAAAACTAAAAGATTTCAAGATTCTTAATTCAAAAGAAAAGAATCATTGTATCAATGGGAGAATTTCGGATTCGAAAAAAATTCTATCCGGAATTTTTTTTTCCCACGATAAATGACGATTATCATTTTGATAATGATGATTATCAACGATGATGATTACCGTAAAAAGAAAAGACGAAATTTCATGCTTTAATTCATTCATGATTGGTTTTTATTTTCAAAAATGAATGAATGAATGGTTAAATTTGTTTATAATCGGGGTATATTTATTACCAATGGCTCGTTGTTATATTCATTGTGTGTGTGTATCGAATCACATTTGAAAAATCAGGATCAAATGACGCGAAATGAAATTGAAAGATTTCCACTCACTCACTCAAGCTTTATTCACTAAATTGAATTGAATATGGTTGATTGTATAATGGTTTTCACTGGTGTGTGTGTAATGATTGTTATATCGATTACAATATGGTTTTGGTCGGTTGAGAGATGATGATGGCTGGCTGGCTGGTCGATCAAACGGTCGGTGTGTGTGTGAAAATGTCATAATAAAAACTTGATTTTTTCACGAAATATACATCCATCGAATGATAAAAGTCAATTTGAATCAATCAATCAATCGGAAAATTGTTGTTGTAATCAATAATCATCGAAAATTAAATGAATCGAAAGGAAAAAAATTCGCGAATGAGAAGAAAACATTCGAAAGTTCGAATGTTTCTTTCATTCATAAATGTTGTGTGTCAATCGATATCAAGAATCGATTTTTTTTCACAATCTTTTTTTCCCTTAAATTTTTAATGGATTTTTTTTTAATATTTTTCGGCACTAATTGATTATTATTGAAGGCATCTCATTCACCATCACCACCATTCATTGAATGAAAACGATTATCGTCATCGGTCACACACAATAGGCATTCACAAATCCGTGCCAAACACACCACCACCATCAAACACACTTTCTATTATTATTCAACAACAAAAAAATCTATAGGTCCTATAGAGAGAGATTGTCTCTGTTCGGTTTGACAAACAATAATTGTTGTGGTTTTGACAAATTGAAACATTTTTTTCCCTTCAATTTTCAATTCAATTCAATAGGAAACTTAACGAAACAAAACAAAAATATGTAACGTGTGACCCAAGTATAATAACAATAATACCCGATACCAACCACCATCAAAAACCATATTTTGTCACATAATCATCAACATCAATGATGATTATGCAATAATAACGCGTGTCATCATCATTGTGTGTATCCGATGTGATTATGAAAATTGAAAAAAATATTTTCCGTTTTTTTTGATTGAAATTCAAATTTTCTCTCACTCTTCTCTTAATTATCCGATATTTATAAAGATTAATTAAAAAAATTAGAGAACCTAACCTCACTCAACTATGAATCATAGTCACCAACCTAACCTCACTCAACTATGAATCACAATGTTTTCTTGTAATAAAATAAATAAATTGAATAAAACAAAATTACAAAAAAAAAATTCTAATTTAATTGAAATAAACAATCTTTGGTGCATATATAAAAATTCATTTAAAGAATTCTTTCTTCATGAAAAAAACGACGATAAACTTGATAAAGTCATTTACATAACCGACTATTACAATTACAAAAAAAATGAATTTTTTCTATGAAGTATTAATATTAATACGTAATTGTTTTCTATTAGTGTGTGGCCTTTTGATTATTAGTAATGCAACATTAGAATTATTATTTTCACCAATGTTATTGATAAAATATTATCTACCATCAATTTTACGACATTTACAACCACAACAACAACAATCAGTCATTACAACTAATAATCAACTATCATTGCCCCAATATTCAACAACATTAATATTATTTTTCTATATAATATTAATATTAATACAAATATTGAATATAATAGCATCATTATTATTATTTTATCAAATATTTATAACAAATTATCATGATAAATATATTGCATATGATACAATAATGTTATTATCATTAACATTATCATTATCATTAATCATACAACAACAACAAATTGATTGGAATTTTTATGATGATATTGTTCAACGGGATTTTTATATACAAATTAATCGTGTTGGTGATCATATTTGTCAAACAACAACCACGATAACCACAACAACTTCTTCGAAAACAACAAAAAATTCCACTCCAGATGATATTAGAAGTTTAAAATTTCCGAAAAAATCTGTAGAAAAACCAAAACAATATTGCTATCATTCAGATGTTTATTATTGGCATCAAATGAATCGTTGTTGTGGTTGGCAATCACCCTATGACCTAATTGGTATTGTTAAATTTAATAATACTAATGGTCGTGGTCGTGGTAATGTTAATGATGATTTTGATGATAATCATGGTAATGATGATCAGAATAACCGATATCGTTTACCGGAATTTTGTTGTGAAACATTAATTAATAATCAATATCATGGAATTATCAAAAATATGTGGTTAAAAAATTTATATAAACAGCAGCAGCAGCAACAACCAAATTATTGTTTTATTGGATCAATATTTATGTTTAATCGTACTTGTAAAGTACTTTATTATGGTAATGCATTCAATACAAATCGACAGCAACAACAAAGTTTATCATCAACATCGAGAACATCGATATTATCATTACGTAATTTATCATTGATTAATCATCCAATAGAATTGATCTATATTTTATTAAAATTAATTATAACATTCATTTATACTTATTATAAACAGCATTTATTACCACAAATTGAAGGACCATATTCATTTTATTTATCACCATGAAAAATTTGCAAAATAAAATCTTTTCTTTTTAATTAACCAGAAAAATTAAAATAAAATTTCCAGAAGTTTTTCCAGAAATTGTGGAAAAGTGGGGGCAGGACCATTGTTTTTTTTTGGTGGAAATATCTTCTGGGCGTGTTCTAAATCAAATCGCGCATGCTTATTGGTTTGTTGATTGTGTGTTCTGGTTTATAGGTGTAAAAATAGCTGCAATTTTGGATTCAATTTTTTTCTGGAACAAACACAAGGGGAAACAAAGAAAAAAAAATGGAAGACAATAATGATTGCTGTCAATTTCAGATCTTTTTTCTTATTCTTGCTGAATAATAATTCTATTTGTGAACATGATAGTAACTGGATGAAAATGTATAGAATGTAAAATGTAAATAATGTTTGGTTGTCAAAAACAGATTCTGGAATTACTGATTATAATGATGGAATCAAAATGGCTGACAAAAGATTCAGCTGGAGGAGGGGTGAAATTGGGAGGGATGACAACAACAACAAAAAAAAGTCGTCAAATGCAGAAGTTTTTTTTTCTTCTTCCGTTGGTTGGCTGGTTATTGTTGGAACAACGTAAAAGCTCCGCCCCAGGATTTTTTTCGTTCAAAATTGAAACACTGAATGTGAATTGAGGCGTGATATATTTCAATTTTTTTATTCTCCAGAATCAGAACTACAGTTCCAGAAAAAAATCCGAATCTGTTATTGTTGTTGTTGTTGTTGCTGCAAGGCAAAACCAAACCAAAATATTACAATGGGGGCACAATGTTGAAACCGAATATAGTTTTTTTGTGGATATAAAAAGTTTTCGTCTCCTATTTTTGACAAAAACAAATAATTCCAAAATTCAATTCAATCAACATTTTAACATCCAACCAGAAACTTGAATTTCTTGAATTAACTTTGAATTGAAATTCATCATCATATGAAAATCAATAATAATAATAATAATAATAATTTGTCAAAAACAAACAAACTGATCAATAATTTTTCACATATTGATGACAGGTCTGCAATCGACAATTAACTTATTATCATCAAAATCCAAAATTAAAGTGACAAAAGCATATTTTTATGTCACATATCATCATCATAATCAATTTTTTTGCTGCTGCTGTTGGTGTCTGATCCAGGACCAATAACAACAACAACTTGAAAGTTTACTTGAATTGATTGTCATCTGGTAGCAGATTTTCCATTTTCCATTTTTGTTTTCATTATGCATACAAGTGTCCAATACAGAGAATCTTCAGTGAAAACATTAAACTGAAACAAACAAACAAATTCTGATCAAAAATCCAATCGAAACGAAAACCAATCAAATTCATTCATTCACATTTCATATTTTGTATATGCATCTGGCATCGATTATTATCATCATCATTTTTTTTTTGATTTTGATTAAATGTGCCCTAAAGGAGAACAAGAATATTCTTGACTTTCTAAACAATCATAATCATCATACAGTATGTCATATACAGAATCTAAACAACATCATCATTCATTTGGAACAACAACAACAACAAGAATATCATCACCAGAACTACCACTACAAAGTTGTTGTATTGGCAGTGGTTATGCTATTGGTTATGGTGGTGGTGGTGGTGGTGGATATTGTCGACCTATATCCACATCATCAACAATAACTGTTCCAATCCATTTTCAACAACAGAATTCCGATATTCAATCACCACCGCCATCATCATATTCAACAAATAATCATCATCCAAATAATTTAATGGCTATCGATCATATACATCCACCACCACCACCGCCGCAGCAGCAGCAGCCGCATCATTTATCTGATTCATATCATAATTTATCCGCATCAGCATCATCACAGCATCATCAATTTTCATATCATCATCAAGCAACAACATCAACTTATTATAATAATCAATTTATTGATTATTCATCATCACCATATCATCATCATACGTCATATGTGGATGCATCACCATCATCATATCATTGCTTTACGCCATCATCGACTAATCATCATCATACATATCCTCATCCACAACAACAACAACAACAATTTCGTAATCAAAATTCATTTTTAAATGATGAAACATCATTTCATTCAACCAATTTAATTCTCGAACAACAACAACAATTTATAACAAATCAACAACAACAACAACAATCGAATGATAGATCTTATCATATGGTAGTTAAAACATTGAATAATAAAGCTACTGTTTCATCATCACCACCGATATCATCACCAGTATTATCATCATCGTCATCATCAACAACAACAACAACAACACCATCGATTGATAATGGAATTATGATAATGGAAAATAAAATTAATACTCGTAATAATAAACGTAAAAATAAATCTATTGTAAATAATAAATTGGATTATGATGATGATAATGGTAATTAAAAAAAAGTTTTTTTGAAAATTTTTTTCCCGGAAAATTTCTTTTAAAAATATTCTTTTTATTTTTTTAGATGAAGAAGAAAAAATTCCGGATCGATCAAGAAAATCATCGATAACAAAACGATCAAAATCAAATCCATCAATAATCATCGACAATTCATCTTCGATTCGTTCAACATCCAATGATCAATTGTTGATGGAAGAAACATCATCATCCGTAACAACAATGATCAATGAAGATGAAACTAATGATTGTGGTGGCGCTGGTGGTGGTAACGCAGGTATATCCAGTGGTGATGATGATTGCTGTTCGGATAAAAATTCTAATCAATTACAGGATTCGACAATGATAATGATCAATACACAGAATTGTAAGTGAAGCAAAATTTCCTTCCGAAAACTTTCTTAAAAAAAACTTTTCCCCTAAAAATATAGCTAGCGTACGTGAACGTAAACGAATGTTAAGTATAAATTCAGCATTTGAAGAGCTACGATTACATGTTCCAACATTTCCATTTGAAAAACGTTTATCAAAAATTGATACATTAAGATTAGCCATAGCATATATTGCATTATTAAAAGAAATTCTAGCTTCAGATTTAGATCCAATTGTTTATATTGAAAAATGTTTACGCGGTGAATTAAAAGGTGAACATACAGCCGAATGGAATACAAGTGGTATGATGATAATGATAATGATAATGATGATGATAATGATTTTTATTAATCAAAACAAAAATTTAACCCTAGATTTAACAGCAAGATTATCATGGATTAATTGGGAAAATTTAGGCATAAATCTAGCACAACGTAATCCTATGGGTACATTTTCACCATTTATACGTACACCACATTCAATATCATCGATTCCACAACAGCAAACACAGCAAACATCATCATTACAACCACCACAATCACAATCATCATCATCAATGATGATGATGACAATGATGATGACAAATCAATCATCAAATGAATCGACAACAACAACAACGGATGATGATTATTATGCAACAACAACCAACAGTGCTGTTGCTTATTCAAATCATCATCAGCATCGTTGATTACAAACAATTGAAACCGAAGAATGAATCGATTGTATCGATTGTATCACACGATGATGATGATGATAATCATTAGATTGTTGGTACGTGTGTTTGACACGTGTTTTGTTTTCAAAAAAAAAAAAATTACCACACAGTTTTCTCGTTATTGTTATTCTTTTATTATTATTGTTGTTGTAACAAATTTTGTTTCCAAAAAAAATTCATTTCCAAAACAAAATAAAAAGAAACCATAACATTTTTCAATTTTTAATTTTACAAACCAAACACGTGACCGATCACAATTTTGTAGTTTTGAAAACAAAAAAAAAATCTGTTTTCCAATTCAATTCATCAAAAAAACAACCAGAATAACAATCAGCATTTCTGACAAATCCTCTCATCATTATCGTCAAAAAAAGAAAATTTGTAAATAATACTTAGTTGTTTTCCAGAGGATTCATTGAATGTTGTAACCAAAAAAAAAATTTTCAATTTTATTTTTTAATTAAATTATAATTTTGAGCGATTTTTAAAATACATAAATTATTTGATGTTTGATTGTTGATTTCATTCATTTATTCATTCAGTCATTCTATGATTAGTATAATTAAAACCTTGAAACAATAATTGATCATTATCATTGATTAATTTTTCACATGGTGTTATACAAGGAATTTCTTTGGTAAAATATTGATCAAAATATGATACATCTGCATCATGTGCCTGTGTTAAAAAAAAAGAAAAAGAGAAATGAATTTTTAAAACAAAACACAAACAACGAATACAAACCAATTTCGGTATGAATGGTGGTTTTAATTGACATTTTTCCACCGAATCCCATTGTATACCATGAAACCATTGTTGTTGTACAATTTCACCAGACGGACTATTCGGTAGCCCTAATCTTTCTTGTGGATTTTTTTTGAGTAACTTTCCGACAAAAAAAAACAGAGAAAAATTATTTTTTGAACTTTTACAAAAACAAAACACTTACCAAAACAATTAAATTTTTCACCTGTTCCGAAAGAAATTTTGGATAATGTACTTCGGTATTACAAACATTCCATAATAATTCATCTTCATCCGTACCGTTAAATGGTGATGTACCGACTAACATTTCATAAATAACAACACCTAATGCCCAATAATCAACTGAATGATTATATTTTATACCTTTTATAATCTTGAAAAAAAAGATTACCAAAAAAAAAATTACAATAATTTTCATCTCAAATAATCATACCTCGGGTGCCATATATTCCGGTGTACCACAAAAATTTGATGGTAAAAATTCTTCACGATACATTTTACCAACGCACATTCCAAAATCAACTAAACGAATGTGTCCCTATATGGTGATTGATTTTTTTATAAAAAAAGTTTTTCCATTTAAAAAAACAAAAACAAACTTACATCATTAGCAATCATAACATTATCTAGTTTGAGATCACGATAAATGATACTACGTTTATGTAGAAACCATAATGCACAGATCATTTCGGATGCATAAAATCTTTTCAAAGAAACAAAATTTTAAATTTCCGAAAAATTTCTCAACAACAAAAAAAACTAACTTTGCTTTATTTTCCGAAAATTTTCCCTCTTTTTGTACATGAAACATTAGATCACCACCGGAACAAAGTTCCATTGCAAAAAATAAATGACTCTATTAATCGAATACAATTCAACAAAAAAAAATCAATTAAATCCAGGTAAGGCAAAAAATTACAAATTACCTCAGTTTGAAATGTACAAAATAATTTACAAATAAATGGATGCGATGTACCCAATGCCAATACTTTACGTTCAATCATAATTGATTCAACATCATCATCTTCAATAATTGTTTGTTTTTTTAAACATTTTATTGCAAAATAATAACAATAATCATAATTTGTAATTAATTCGGCTAATAAAACTTTACCAAAACTACCACGACCTAATACAGTTAGAAAACGAAAATCATCAATACAATATTCACGAAAACGTATTCTTTGTTGACGTCGTTGACGATTATTATCATTATTTTGTTGAAATGGATCCAATTGTTGATTGATTTTAATCTTTGTTGGTGGTGATAATAAATTTGTATCGGTTATTGTTTTCGATGATGATTTTGTCTGTAATGATGTCGATGATGATAATGACGATGAAATCTGTTGTTGATGATTCGATTCATTTTCAACCGATTTTGTTATTCGTAATTCTTGTTGTTTTGCGGGTGGTGGTGATGGCAGTAGTTTGGTAATGACATTTTCCGTTTCATTCAATATTGCTTTTTCTTCACATTGGTGGTGTGTTTTTGAATTTTGAAAAATTTAAAAAAAAACAAAAATTTAAAAAAATTATTTAAATTGTCGTTGTCGTTGATATAAAATCCATATTAAAATAATAAAAAATGATAAATATAATAGAAAAAATATGGCCAAAAAACTTTTTAGATAAAGATCAATGTACCATAATTGTATTGGTTTCATTGTTGTTGTTGTTGTTTGATTTGGATCTTTTTTTTTTGTTTCGGGTAAATTGTATTATATGCAAAATAAATTTAAAATGCTGCTTGGTTGAATGTCATACAAGATTGGGAAAATTTTCACACATCAAATTTTTGGCTTTTCTCGTACTTTCTTTCGAGACAAATCTTTCAATGTGTTGTTGTTCAGACATCAGACAATTTATATCTTTCATTCTTATAAAGTTGTAAAACAAAAAATAAAAAATTTCTAAATATAGAAAATTCTCTGTTTTATAAAACTAATGTTGCATACATGTTTATAACACTCCATAATCACCATTTTGGCTTGGCTTTCAATTGAAAATTCTTTAGTTAATTTCGTTGAATCTTTTAAAATTCTGATGATGACAACAGAATATTCCTTCCATTTCATTTCATCTTTTTTCCCCTCCCAAAATGAATTGCTTTGAGAAAAAAAAAATAAAAGTTTCAATCTAATTGATAACGATGATGATGATTATCATTTTTCAATCGTTTTTTTTAAATTGATTTCCTTACTCTTTACTTGTTGTTGTTTTTGTTTTGAAAAAAAAACTTAATTTCAATTTAAAAATAAACTTTTCTTTCAATCCATATGCTGATGATGATTCTGTCAACAGCATATGGATTGAAACTGCTAAAAAAACTGTTAAATAATCATTTAAATGATGCTAATCATCATCAACAACAGAGTACCGAATAAGGCGAACCGGCAATGAAAAAAAGATAATAAAAATGTTGTTGTCGTCGTCGTCGTTTGATGATGACAACAGGCAAAGAAATTCGAGAATAACAAAGTGTGGTGTGCAACCCAATTCTTGTCAAAATATTTAAAAAAAAAAGTTTCAACCTGCAAAAAACATCTACATCATTTCAATCAATGTTTGCCAAGAAAATTTCCGTCAAAAAAAATCTTTTTAAAAGCAAAAAAAAACCTTGACAAAAACATTTTTTGATTGATTGACTTTGAACTAACTGATCAATCAATCAATCAATCAATCAGTTTGATAAAATTTCGCTTACCATTTTTCGATGTTTTAATCGGTTTCTTTTTCTTCTTTTTATCGGATTGTTGTTGTTGTTTTGGCTGATTATCATCATTATCATCAGCAGATGTCTTTTGTAATGTTAACGACGAGGATGCTGATGTTTTGTTATTGTCCTTGTTGATGATTTCATTTTCATTTGACAATTGACATTTAGAATCCTCGTTGTTGTTGTTGTTTTTTGATTGTTGTTGTTGTTGTTGATCAGATGATTTTTTATTTTTTGATTTTGTTCGTTTTATTTTAATTATTTCTTCGTCGTTTGATGATTGAATTTTTGGTGATTTTGGCGATGATGGTGGTAATGATGGTGGTGATACAATCGATTCTACTTTCGATACAATCGATTCTTCTAACGAATTACATTTATTGAATGAAAATTTTGATTGTTCGATTGTTTCTGATTTTTGATCTTTTTTCGGTTTTAATTTTGGTGATTTCAATTCGGGTGATTTTATTTCCGGTGATGTTACTGATTTATCCGCATCATCTTTTTTGATGATTTTGGCTTTTGTTTTCAAATCTGTTTTGTAAAAATCAAAATTTCAAACAAAATCAAAATCAAATTCAACAATATTACCTGATTGTTTTTCGAGTTTTTCCGCCACTTGTTTGTCCGGTGTTGTTGTTTTCTTTTTTTTCTCATCTTTTGATTCAGTCGGGGTTGTTAAATCCAATTTTTCTGGAATAATTTTTATTTTCGGAATATTTTGAACAACAGTTGTGATTTTTGGCTCATCATTTTCCATTTCTAAATTGGATTTTTTATCCACCATCATCTTATCGTTGATTGGTTTTGGTTGTTTTTTTCTTTTACCAATCATCACAGGATCATCATCCTTAATGGTTTTCGATAACGATAGCTCAGATGTTGCAGATTTTTTCAATTGTTTTGCAAATTTTCTTTCGTTATTCGAATCAAAATTTGTTAATAATTTATCAAATTTTATTTCAATTATTTCATCATTAAACGATGGTATATCGATTTGTGTTTTAAAAATTAAATTTTCTTTCATTAATGATGAATCGGATAATTTTAATGAATTTGTTCGTTTTGGTTTAGGTTTTTCTGATTTTTTCATTATCCTTATTTGATCATTCGGATCTTTTTTCAATGGTTTTTTCATTGGTTTTTTTACCGGTTTTTGTTCAACGTTACTATCGTTGATTTTAGATTTTGGTTTAATTAAATCCATTGCTTTTAGCGATATTAAACGTTCGGGAAATTCATTCGTTTGATTTTCGATGATTTTTGTTGCTGTTGTTACCGTTGACAACAAAGATTCTTTTAATAAAATCGGTTCCTGATTTTGTTTCTCTTCTTTTATCAATGAATTTAGGTCAACGAATTTATCTAGGTGATTATTTTTAAACTTATCATCATCATCCACCAAATTATTATTATTATCATCTTTTCCGCCATTATTATCATCATTCAGATTGAATGAACCTTTCCATCGTTGTAATGAACAAGGGGTTAATGATTTTGTTTGTTGTTCTATTACATTGCCACTTCCACCATCATCTATAATGTTTGTCCTATTCATAAATGACATGTCATCAATTTGTTTTACCCCTAATTCTTGTTGTTGATTAAAAGAATCATCATCAACAACCACAACATCATCGATTTCTTTAATCGATTCGATATTTGATTTTTGCTTCGAATCAATTTTTGGTTGATTTAGTTGTTGATGATCATATGGAATGTCCCATGAGATTGAACTGCGACGATTATTATCAATTATTAATGGCGGTTTATCATATTCACGAAATTTTATTAAAAATTTATTTCTTTCTAATTTAGGTTTTAATGATGATGATGGTGATGATTGATTATCATTGATTGATGATGATGATGATTTATGTGTCGAACCAATTGAACCGGTTGGTGATTCTTTACCAAGATGTCTCGATGATGATGGTATTGGCGATCCTTTACCACTAGAACCACCACCACCACTTTGACGCCGATCATTTCGATGATTAAATGTTGTCGATGATGATGGTGAACCAAATTTACGATTTAAATTCGATAATAATGGTCGTTCACGATATTTTGGTGCATTATAAACATTTGTAAAACGATAATTACCCGGTAAAATATATGAATTTTTATTATAAAAATTTTGATTATATTTTGTTTTACTATTGGTATTTGTTGTGTTTAAATAGCTTAAATTATCATTAAAATTTGTTAAAAAATCTTGACTTCTTGTTGATGTCGATGTTGATAGGGATTGACTATTTCGACCTTGATGATCACGAAGATATGATAATCGTGGATTTGATGATGGTATTGTTGGCCTTGCCGTTGATCTTGTTAACAATTTCGATGATGATGAATCAAAATCAATTTCTGTTGCTAATGAAAATATACTTTTCGGACGAAATATACCATCTTTACCACGATTTAATGTTGATGAATTTAATCGTTCATTTGATAATGATGGTGTTAATGATGACAAATGATGGGAATGATGAATATTTGAAAATTTTATATTACGAAAATCTGATATGGCACTTGTTGATGATAATGATGATGTCGATGATGGTAAAATTCGTTGATGATGATGATGATGATAAGATGAACGATGATCGTTGTACATTTTTAAATTGAAAAATTTATTGATTCTTTTTCTTCTTTTGTTTAATTTTGATTATTTTTTTTTGCAAATTTTTTTTCATTAAAACATTTTAATCAAATTTTATTGCTGTTGTTGGTGTTAATTAGTGAAATTCATTGAAAAATTCAAACAAACACACGAATATGAATGAGTTAGAGAGGTGTTTTTTTTTGTGTTAAGTAAAAAAAATTTATTTTTATATATAAAAGATTTTATCCCGAATATACAAAAATTGATGCCAAAATGGTTTATTTATAAAAGTGCGCATGCGCATCGTGTGTATGTGTGATTTAATGAAAAAAATATAATAATGTTCCTGTCTGTCTGCCTTGTGATGATGATGATGATGATGAAAAGTTTATTTTTGTATTTTTTTTGAATTACCTCTGTATAAAATAGAAAATTCAACACAGAATTCGTAGTTGAAATCAACCATATATTTTTTTTAAACACAACGAGAAAAAAAAACAAAAAAGTGAAAGAAAAAAAAACTTCAAGGCAAAAAATATAATAAAAATAAAACTTAATTTGATTTAAATATAGTAGATTCTACCAGTTTATAAAACTGTTTTTTTTTGAGTATATTAATTTTGGCCAGAGGTAATTTTATAAATTAAAAATTAAAAAAAAAAATTATCGATATTCAAACTAAATGTTTATTCATTTTTTTTTTTTTGGCAATCATATCTTCTTTAGTTCGCAGGCTTGGGATCCTTATTAAATATTTTTTCAGCAGCTAAACTGAAAAGGGTTATGTCTTGTCGTGGTGTCCAATAAGCAGTAGTAAAGAAATAATCATCAAAAATTGCGCTTAGCGTATTATACATTGTTATCACACCACAAAAAGTAGCAAAACATCCATTAAATGTGTATAAAACAAACATAGAAGCAATTGATACAGCCAAAATAATCCATGTTTTTTTTCTTGCATAACACAAAAAATGCCCATGTTGAACTGTGGAACAAAATGGATTAAACCTTGATACTGTTGCATTCAACATTTGATCAGCATATAAATGTGGTTTTGCTGTACAACGTTTTAAAATACTTAATTCACAATCTAATTGTGTAAAAACAAAACAACAAAAATCAAAACTATCAATATAAAAATCATCAATAGTTATCTCCCAACGTTTACGCATATCATATTCACAATTGATAAATGCAGTATGATATTTTGCATTTTGACATACACCTTCGGGTAGGCCATAAATTGGTTTATATGGAAATAATTTGACAAAGTTTTCTGGTTTAGTTCGCTTTTCTCTATTATGAAACGTTTTGTAAGCCCATCTTCCCACAGTTCTGCTTATCGTTGCGTGCGAATCCATCATTCGTTTTATATATTTTGCATTTTTTGCTAGGAATAAAATAATTGGACTAGTCGTAATCAGAGTATCAGCCATAATCACATCAGTATGATTAACCATCACCACCATCTTCATTGTTAGCAGCCAAATGATCATTAATAATTGAATTTGTTTCATATTTTTATCAAATCAAAACCAAATAAAATTACACAAACAAAAAATTAAAGATATTTTTCCTTTAAGCTTTAAATTTATATTGAAATTATGAATCGAATTTTAAAAAATTAATTAAATTTTTTCAGTGTTATAGTATGATTGAGCTTAGCTTTCGAACAATTTAATTATTTAAATGGAAGTTCGAAGATCAAACTTCAAAATAGAATTAAAACTTTGAAAACTAATATTATACTGTAATAACAGTAGCCGTAATTATTCAATTATTATATTCTCGAACTTACATCAATAAAATTTGTAATGTTTGTTTGGCTGTTGTCTTTGTCATTAGAAAAAAAAGCTTATTCTGATTTTTCAATCAAAATGGCACACCTTCTTTCAATTGTTTTCTGTTATTTTTGAATATTTTCAAAAATCTTCAAATCGTTTTTCAACAAGCTGATTTTTTGTCGTACATAATTCTCACACCTCTCGGCTACGAATTCTTCACAAATTAATCAAACTAAAATTGATTAACACTGAATGCATGATTTAAAAAAAAAACATTGACATTTCGCTTGTTTAAACAAAACCCAAAACCCATTCTTTGTTTTCGAATGATGTTTTTATCAATTAATCAATCAATGAATCAATGAATCAATGAATCAATTAATCAATGAATCAATGAATCAATTAATCAATGAATCAATGAATCAATGAATCAATGAATCAATGAATCAATTAATCATAAAATTAAAACAAACTTATCAAACTTATATTTGTAATTTTTATTGATTAAAAAAAATTGAATTTTTTTATTTTGTTTGTTTTTGTTTTGCTGCTGTTGCAATTGCTTTCAATGATGATGGGATAGTTATTGTTGTGCCACAGTTACTGGATATGGTCGTATCATACCATAAGTCATAGCAATGCCAGATGTTATTGTTGTAAATAAAGACCATACAGGTGCACCACAATAAAAACATAATGCAACCATAAGACCTGTTATCAATAAACCAACGCCAAATTTTATTAAATCCCCAGTATTAAAAAAGCATGAATATGATATTTCACCCAAATTAAATGGATCACAAAATGGTTCTATTGTTTGTCTTGTTGTCGTATCTAACATTCTTGAAAAATTATCTAATTTTAAAAAATCATTTGATGAACGTTGACATTGTTGAACGGCTTTTAATTCACAAACTAATTGTCCATATGCAAAACAACAAAATTCTTTTGATATTGTAAACTATTAAAAAAAAGTTGGTAATAATAAAATTTTTTTTTATTAAAATCATTTGAATAAAAAAAATAATACATACATAATCTTCAATTTCTGTACCCCAATATTGACTTGCCCTTATACGACATAAAGTAAATGCTTGTAATGAATCTTCATCACAATATTCTTCAGGTAATACTGATACTGGTTTATATGGATAAAATTGTAAAATTTTATCATGTGCTGTTTCAATAAACTTTATTATTATTGATAAATTAATAAAAATTATTATTATTATTTTATAGTTCATATTTATTGGGCTAAATAACTTGACTAATCAGGAAAATTCAAATGAATAAAATGTTTTTGTTTTGTTATTACAAATATATATGATCGATTCTGATTAGTTAATTCTAATTGATTTATTAGATTAGATTAGAATTAATTTTATTAGGAAAAAACAACTTTTTTTTTGGTTTAATCAATCGAATGATTGGCAGCAAATCAATATCGAACGATGATAATGATGATAAGGTGATGATGATAAATATGGATGTATCGAAATAGAATAAAAGCGAACAGTGAGTATTGAATGCGTTTTGATTTTTTTCTCATTCGGAAAAAATAAAATTCACTTTTTTCAAAATTTCATTTTTTTTCTTATTTAACGAACGATATGGCAACAAATTCTTTATTGGAAACAAAAAAATCAATACTACAACAATTTCAAGGTCCTGTTTGTGCTGTTGCAACTGCTTTCAATGATGATGGGTTAGTTAATGTTTTTTGTTTTTTATTTCTTCGTAATTAATCTTTTCTTTTTTTTAAAAAAAAAAGACAATTAAATGTTGAACAAATTGTTGATTATGCACGACATTTGAAAATGATCGGTGTAAAAGGTGTTTACATTCTTGGTACAACTGGTGAATCATTTACATTAACATTTGATGAAAAATATCAAATAATTCAAGCATGGTATAAAGCAATTCAACAATTAGATTCAGAAATGGATAATAATAATAATCAATTTTTGGCTATTGTAAATATAACATCAATGTCATTGAATGAATCGAAAAAATTATTAAAATTAATGAAAAATTTACAAAGATTTAATGCATGGGCATTATTAGCACCAATATTCTATCCAGTTACAAATGTTGATCAATTTATAACAATGATAAAAGATATTTCTATCGATACTGATTGTCAATTACCATTTCTTTATTATCATTTTCCTGATCGTACTGGCCAACAAAATTGTAAATTAATTTTTTTTCCATTTAATCATTTGATTAACCTTAAGGGTTTCTTTTCAGTTGAATTGGAAACATTTACCGAAAAAGCATTGAAATGTTTACCACAATTTTCAGCAATAAAATTTACCGATACCAATATTGTACGTATGGCAAAAATGCAAAGAAAATTTGGTAAATTTATTAAAATTTTTGCCGGTTATGATGAGGTAAATGTTGAAAATGATGATGATCAACAGGTTTTTTTTGTGTTTTTGATTTTGATTGATTAAATTTTGTTTTGTTTTTTCTTCTTTTTTTAAAGACATTATTAGCAGCACGAACCGTAGTGAATATAAATGCTGGAATATGTGCTACATTTAGTTTGAAAAATTGTGTTCAATCATATTTGAAAATATTGGATTCAATCGATCAAGGTAATCTTCAAGAAGCACAAAATTATCAACAAATATTAGCCGAATTTTGTCAACAATTACAATCGAATGGAAATTTTTTTTCATCATTAAAACAATGTTTAAATGATGAATTATCATCTACAAAAGGATTACAATTTGGTCGACCACGTATGCCAGTTTGGATTCCAACAAATTCGATAAACGAAAAATTTTGATTTTTTTTTGTTTTCTTCAAAAATTTAATTAAAACAATAAAGATTGATTACCAGCGCCATCTATTGGTGTGAGAGGTGAAAAAGTTATCGAATAAATTGAGTCAATTTTTTTGTTGTTTTGTTTTGGTTTTCTCGGGTATTTTGAAGTTTTTTTTTAGTTGTTGAAAATTTTCTGAAAACAAATAAACGAAAACGAAAAAAACGATGGACGATGTCACATTTATCAATGATCTTGAAGAAATCGGTATACATGGACGATCATCATTACGTGATTTATTAACCGAATCATTAAATAAAAATTTACAAAATATTGATGATAATGATATTGATCAACAACAATCATTGGATAAAATAACATTCCCAGAGATATTAGATTTTCAATCAAACAATGGCATAATTTTACCATCATTACAGCCAATGTTTCCATTATTACATTTATTGGGTGTAAAAAGTTTTGAATTTCATAAATCAGTTGTTGAAGAATTACGTGAAAATTTAATTAATCGTTTTCAAGAAATATCACAAAAAATGGATCCAAATAAACGTGAATCAAATCTAAAAGCATTGCTAGCAAAATCATTTCCATTAATAAAAATGCCAATGATACAGCCGGTTGTAATGGCATTATTAAAAAATTTAGAAGTTGTTGATGATAAATATCTTAAATTATTAGTTGCTGATGAAACATTATATAAAAAATGTGATGTATCAGTTAAACGACATATTTGGCAAGAACATCAATCAATGTTGGTTGGTGAATTATCACCAATTCTATCGGAATATGTTAAAGAGGTATGCTAATTATTCGCTTTTTGAAAATTTTAACCTGGATTTTTTGTTTGGTTTGATTAGAAAGAAGCAATATTTGCCAATATAAAAGAATCGAAACATATATTTTTCCTATTGACACCTAAACAACGACGTCAAAATGAAATTTTACAATCATTAGCACAAATGGTTGGGAAAAATGTTCTACTTTATGATACAATTTTACAATTTGTTCGTACAGTATTTATTCATACAAAAAATCCACATTATTGTACATTGAGAGTCAGTTTATTAATGGAATTACATGATGCAAATATTACCGATATAACATCAATGGATGCATGTCATAAATTTGCATGGTGTTTAGATGCTTGTATACGTGAAAATACTGTCGATCATAAACGTATACGTGAACTGCAAGGTTTTCTCGATAATGTTAAAAAAGGACAAGAAGCTGTATTTAGTGATTTAGCAATGGCATTATATGATCCATATGCTGTAAATTTTTTAGTACAAATGGCTATGCGTATATTGAATATTTTGATTACAAATGAATCATGTCCACGTGAACATCAAACATTACAATTTCTGTTACGTTTATTAAATCTTGGTCTACATGCACATGAAATTTTAAAAACACAAACATTTCGTGAACCAAAATTAAATCCCGAAATACTAACACGTTTTTTACCGATTATAATGGGTTTTATGGTTGATGATCAAGTACGATCAGTAAATTCAAAACTGCCACCTGATGATCGTGAATCAGCGCTGACAATTATTGAACATAGTGGACCACCACCTGATTGTTTTCAAACATTCATACAACAAGATCCATTAGCATCAATATTTGCTATTTATTATACAGCACAAGCTGCCCGACAACGTGATCGTCAAGCAGTATTACGTGTATTAGGATCATTAACAATATCATCAACATATAATAATTTAAGTCATTCGGATCCATATCAACATATATTGATCAGTTCATTAATACAATTAGGCGAAGAATTTTCAAATGATGATTTATGTACATTAGTTTTTGATGAAATATTGCTACCAGCATTGGATATGAATAGTACTGCTGTACATTTAATGAAATTAATTTATCATTTAAATCAATGGTTACCCAGTGAACGTTTAGAATCATTAATGATTAAATTACAACATTATGTACAGATGCCAAATAGTTCAAAAGATCAACGAACACGCCAAACATTTGTTGAATTGATTGAATATTTGGAAAAAATTAAAGAAGATAAATTACGAAAAAATCAACCACCACAAACACCAACTACACCGACAGTTGTTGGTCCTCATGTTGCTGCTTCGATGGATCATCCATCGGTTGTTGGTTCAGCATCTGTTCGTATTCCACCATCAACACCATCAATACATCATCCAATGATGACACCATCATCATCATCATCATCACCGCATGTTTTTCCTCCTCATCATCCACCACCGCCACTACCTTCAGTTCCATTATCACCAATTCCTACTGCTTCTCAACCTTATTATCCGCAACAACCACAATCACCTTATATTGAAACAAATAATCCACCAATGTCACCTTTTAGTGGTCCATTATCACCCTTACCATATCAATCCCCATTTCAACATCCTCATCATCATCAACCCTCATCAACATCATCGGGACATTTAAATCGATCCACATCATCATCATCATCGGATAAATCATATCCAACAATTAATTATTAAATTAGATTAATTCAACATTTTTTTCAATTTATTGATCGATTTGAGTTTGATTGATTGATTCGGTATCGATATTGTTTGATGATTGTTCAGATTCAATCAAAGACATTGAAGAAGTTATCAGATAATCATATTGAATGATTTGAAAATAAATTTTACCAATTTGAAATAGATATTCATTACGTTTCGATTGTATTGTTGTTATCATAAATGTATATTGTATACGACCGACCAATGTAAACCAATGATATCGATGATCAAATAATAATGTTAAACGATTATGAAATTCAATTGATATTGATCGGAAACAATTTCTATATGGATCAAATTTTTCACTGGTTATTTCTTCTGATTGTTGTTGACATGATGGAAAATTTTTCGATTGTTCCAAAATATGTTTAGCAACCATTATTATTATCGGGATATTTGTTTGATTTGATGCAAACCATATATATGGTTCTATTTTTTCATTTTGAGCTTCTTTTATCATTTCTTTTATTAAAAACTATAAAAAAAAATTAAAATTACTTTGAAATAATAAAATTAATTAAAATTGAGATTACCATTTTTTGAATTTTATTTAAATCATCATTGATATTTGATTGATATTGATTTTGTTGTTGTTGTTTGTCATTGATAATCAATAACAATTGCTGTTCGATTGATTGACATTTTTCTTGTAGCAAATCTAATGATTTTATTGATTTTTTCAATTGATTATCAATTTGATTGGAAATTTTTGAAAAATTTTGCCATAAAATTTGATAGAAATATGATAGTAATATTAATATGATTGATATTTGAATCAATCGATTGAATCCAATCATTTTTTACGGTTGTTGCTGTTGATCCGACTTGTTACATTAAACCAATTTTAACTTAAAAACAAAAAACAAAAAAAGAAATCAACTTGGAAATAAGGTTACCAGGTAAGCTTTTTATTATTATCGTCGCAGGTAACAAGGTAATAAAAAAAATTTATAATGCTTAATGTGTTTTAGTTTAATTTTTATTTTATTTATCATTTACACAACCACCATTATTATCAATGATTACAAATGATTATTTTATTATTATTTTTTCATCCATAAGAATACAATTTAGATTTATAATGATGATTAATGATCATTTTTTTAAAAATTAAATGTAATAATTTTCTTTTTCGATAAAAATGATTGACAGTGGTGTGTAAATAGCATACAATCGAAGCTGGTAAGAATTAGACATTGACACCTTTTGGTTTGTTTGTCATTTGTGATTCACGATTACCTAAATGTTCACCAACATCCATCGACAATGCACCAGCGCCACCACCAAATCCATAACCTTTTGGACCAAATTTTCTTGCATAACATTGTTTACACCATAATGCATTATCATGGGCATTAACATTAGTTGAATCTAAACGTTTATTACAAAGATTACATTTGAAACAAACTTTATGCCATTTTTGTCCACCGGCTAATAATTCTTCAGCAGCATATACTGCTCTATTACAACGTAAACAAATGTTGGACATTTTTTTTTGTTGTTGAAAATTTTTTCAAAATATAAACCAAACAAAAATCAAAAATTATCACTGACAAGAAAAAAAAACTTGATTGGCGTAAAGAAAAATATTCAATCGTCTCGGGTATTTATATATACCTCATATTCGCAAAAAGTGTCTTCATATTTTGAGCAAAAAAAACCAATCAATTATTCACTTTGAGAGAGTAAAAAAATGCAAAACCAAAATAAAACTGTCATTTTTCTTCTAAATTATTGCCTGTTTTTGTATTTTTCTTTTTGCTTTCGATATCCAGAATTTTGCTAGAAAAAAACCACAAGGTGATTTTTTTTCTTCAAATTGCACATTTTAGTTGAAAAATAGAAAAAAATAAAATTTCCAAAATTCCAAAATTGAAAATTTTCAAAAGTTTTACCATTTGTAACAAGGTTCAGGCTATAAAGGCTATAAAGGTATTTTAAGAAACTTTCCGGGAAAAATTTTTCCCGAGAATATTTCCCATGTAGATTTGGGTGAATGAGTAATGGAGTAAAGAAGGGAGGGGGAAAGGAGAAATGAAAAACTTGAACTAAAAAAAGCTATTTTCATTCAATATTCTTGATTCTTCAAAGAATTCGTAGAAATGATGACGGTGTTTTTCAACTTTTTTTTTCTTCAATTTGAATGTCAATGAAAATCAGACGGGAAAAGTTTTTTTGAACCCGGCAGTTGAATATCACTGTGGATTGTCGAACTGATGATGATCATCGTCAATGATGATGATGATGATGGAGAAAAAAAAGTTGAAATTTCAAACAAACAAACCGAAAATTGGCCAAAAGACAAGAAATAAGTGAAAGCGATGAGCAAAATGTACGAAAAGAAGAAAGATTTGATTTAAAAATGTGGCTGAGGGGAAAAAGGAAAGAAACATCAACAATTCAGGTCGTTTAAACAACAACAACAACAACGATATTCTGGGTGCGTCAAAATGTGAAATTCTTTTTTTGGTTTGAAATTTTCACATTCATTTCTTGGCGTTCATCAAATTCTTTTTGCGTAAAGAATATTCTGTGTGTATGTATGTTGTGTGAATGTTAATTTCGGTTGGTTAGAAAAAGATGATGAAAGCAATCAAAGAAATTCCTGTGTGTGTTTTTCAGCAACAAAAAAAAAATAAAATAAAATGACATTTATCAATTATGAAAAAAAAGTCACAAATCTGTCATAGGATTAGGGAATATTCCCGGAAAATATTTTTTCCAGAAAGTTTCTCAATTTTTTTAATTTTTTAACCCAAAAAAAATCGAAATTGAAAATTTTTAAAAATCAATTTTCTATATACAAACCCCGAAGATAATATAAACAAAATGTGCAAAAAAATGAAAATGGCATATCGATGTTTATATTAACTGGGAAAAAAATGAAAATCAAAAAAATGAAAAATTCAATTGAATTTGATGCCACTACTTAAGAGATTTTTTTGGGATTTTGTTTGGATTTTCTTGGCCCCGGTTAAAAATTTCTGAATAAATAGACCGAGAGAATCGATTCATTCAATTCATTTTCGTTTTTTTGTTTAATTGGTTTTGTGTTTTGTGAAAACAAAAATCATCCAAACAAGAGAATCATGTCCAATATTTGTCGTCGTTGTGAAAAACCAGTTTATGCTGCTGAAGAAATGCTGGCCGGTGGACAAAAATGGCATAAAACATGTTTCAAATGTAATCTTTGTAATAAACGTTTGGATTCTACCAATGTTAATGCACATGATAATTCATTATGGTGTAAACAATGTTATGGCCGTAAATTTGGACCAAAAGGTTATGGATTTGGTGGCGGAGCTGGTGCATTGTCGATGGATATTGGTGAACATTTGGGTAATCGTGAATCAGCAATGACCAATAAACCACATGGTATTGTACAATGATTGTATTGATCAATCATTATGACGAATTTTTTTTTCTTCTAAAACTTTGAAAATTTTCCGGAAATTTTTTTTCCTGAAAAATTTCTTTCAAAAAAAATTTCAAAAATTTAATTAATTTTTTAAATCATTTTTATTTTATTTTTTGTTTTTGTTGTCAAACATTTATAATTTATAATTGTTTTTGTTAAAATAAATAAATTTTTAGTAACAACCAAAAGAAGAAGACATTTTAATTTGGTCTTTTTGTTTGTTTGTATTTTGGGCAAAAGTTTGTTTAGGATTTGAAATGAATTTAACAGGGTAAGTGTGTGTTTGCCAGCGGTTTGTGTGTGTGTGTTTTTATAATAATAAATAAAATAACGGCAGAAAAAAGAGATAAAAATTTTTGGGCTAAATTTTCAATTTTTAATCAATTTGGGTTTTGTTTTTTGTTTTTTGGTTGCAATTTGGACATCCATCAATCATCATCATTAAAATATATGTCTGTTTATGTATTAACACCGGATGGTTTGTTTGTCATTTGTGATTCACGATTACCTAAATGTTCACCAACATCCATCGATAATGCACCGGCACCACCACCAAATCCATAACCTTTTGGACCAAATTTACGGCCATAACATTGTTTACACCATAAGGCATTATCATGGGCATTAACATTGGTTGAATCCAAACGTTTACCACAAAGATTACATTTGAAACAAACTTTATGCCATTTATTACCACCAGCTAATAATTCTTCAGCGGCATATACTGGTTTATTACAACGAAGACAAATGTTGGACATGATTAATGTTTTGAATTAAGGTTTTTTTTGGCTGTTTAAAACAATGAAAAACTATTATATTTTGAATGGAAGAGAAAAAAAAATATGAAAATTATTAGATGAATGGAAAAAATATTCTCGATTCGATTCAATGATGAATAACAACGAAAAATTCACACAAACACTTACGATGAAAAAATTTTTCAAAGACACGACACTGAAAACAAGCAAACAAAATGAAAATGAATGATAGGAAAAAACAAAAAACGGTTTTTATAAATAATAGACAATAGATTTCTTGTTGTTTTTCGTCGTCGATTTTGAAAAAATTGTAGCCTCTTTTTATATATGTTGTTTTTGTTGTTTGCCAAACAAACTGTTAAGAAATCATCATCAACAACTAGAAAACAAAAACGGGCGTTCTATTCATGCGATAATGACAAAATCATTAAAAAAAAATTCATTGTAATATCTTCTTTGCCTTCCCTTCCCTATCTTTAAGCGATTAATCGCGATTCCATCATCCGTCCGCAAACAAACCACCACTCAAACCACCCTGAAAAATTCTTTCGAAAAAGAATTTAAATTTCTTCAAATTGCCTGTCGACATGATCATCATCATCAAGATGATGATCATCTCTTGATGATTATGATTGGATTTTTTTTTTTTTTTTTTTTTTTTTTTTCCAAGATTTTTTTTTTTTTTTTTCCTTTTTGCCTTTTTTTTTTTTAACTAAGGTTTTTTNAAAAACGGGCGTTCTATTCATGCGATAATGACAAAATCATTAAAAAAAATTCATTGTAATATCTTCTTTGCCTTCCCTTCCCTATCTTTAAGCGATTAATCGCGATTCCATCATCCGTCCGCAAACAAACCACCACTCAAACCACCCTGAAAAATTCTTTCAAAAAGAATTTAAATTTCTTCAAATTGCCTGTCGACATGATCATCATCTTGGTGATGATCATCTCTTGACGATTATGATTGGATTTTTTTTTTTTTTTTGTTATATTTCCAAGATGTTCTATATTTATATTCCTTATTGCCGTTGTTGTTGTTAACTAACGATTCTTTTTTCTTTTTTTTGTTGATGAAAATTTATTCAGCCTAAAAAAGAAATCTTTTTTCAAAAGAATTCATTTTGGCCAAAAAACCAGATTCAGCGATAGACGCTCCCCAAATTCTGCCACTACCACTATTTTGTCGTGTGCGATAATAACATTGGATCCATCAAATCAAGGATAAACGGATGATGACGATATTCTCAATGCGCGTGTAATATGTACAAATCATCATTAGACAACAAGAATTGGGCGTCAAATGAAAAAAATAACTGGTTGCTTCTTGTATGTAAACTGTTGTTACCTTTAAATGGTAGAATCTATCATCATCATGACTTTTATTCTGTTTTTTGTTTTCATTTTGGGGTGTGGAATCTTTGGAATTCTAAAAATAAAAACTAAAGGAGAAAAATTCAGTAAGATTCTTCAGTGAAATCAGTTTAACATTCACAATTTTTTGCTGTTGTTGTTGTTTGTTCAAATAACAACAACATTGATCAAGTGTTTCCCAAACAACCTGTTCAAAACAGAAAAAATATTTGTGAATCACTGTTTTTTGGCTTCATTTTCTTCTCTTTTTTGGCAGTCGATGATAATTATTATTTTGTTTGGTTGATTCTAGAACAGAAAACAGAACATTTGTAGATGCTCGCTTGTTTTTTTGAAGGACTAATGTCTATTTTTCCACTAAAAATATATCATCATTAAACAAAAACAAAAACAGCATTTTTTTCCACGATCTTTGTTGGATAAACTCCAAAATAACAAAAAAAAACAAGTTTTTTTGAAAAAATAAAATTTATAGACTTTTTAAATGGATTTTTTTTTTGTTTGAAAATTTTTGGATTTTATTTTAAATCAATAATTTTTAACATATTGAAAATGATTTAGGATTTTGTTTGTTTGACAATTATAATTTACGGATATTAATTAAATTTCAATCAAATCGATAGTTTGCTTGTCGAATATTATCATCATCATCGAAATAAATATAAATGTCTTATGTATTAACACCAGATGGTTTGTTTGTCATTTGTGATTCACGATTACCTAAATGTTCACCAACATCCATCGACAATGCACCGGCACCACCACCAAATCCATAACCTTTTGGTCCGAATTTACGGCCATAACATTGTTTACACCATAATGCATTATCATGAGCATTAACATTAGTTGAATCCAAACGTTTATTACAGAGATTACATTTGAAACATGTTTTATGCCATTTTTGTCCACCGGCTAATAATTCTTCAGCAGCATATACTGGTTTACTGCATCGTAAACAAACGTTAGACATGATTGAAGTTGATTTAAATTAACCTTGTTGGATGTATGGGAAAAAAGAAAAACACCGGAAAATTTTATCACATTAAAATCATTTGTTGATTATCAATTCATTTAATTAATTACCTTTAAAGTTTCAAACAAACAAACAAAAAAATTATGATGATGATTTGATTTGATTCGATCAAACACAAACAATTAAATGTTTATTTGTTTCAAGTATTACACTTGTTTTTATCGTGATCAAAAAAGTTGGCTGGTTGATAAATTGCTAGTAATAAAAAAAATAAAAATAAATCGCGGACAAACCATGGAGAAGAAGAATAAAATGATGATGAACGAAAGAATATTCTTCTAGTGGCTAGTCGTTGTTGAAGAATTTGCTCAAAAAAAATATATCTATTTTTTGATTTAAAAATAATAATGATTTCACCATATATTCATCAACAATGGGCGTTTTTTATTTTGATTTGTCAACATTTTTTTGTCAGTTAGTCATTCAGTCAGTCATTCAGTCCAAATCTATAGAGGTTTTGATTTTTGTTGTCAAAACTCTATACGGCTATTACTACTACTTCCTTTTGATTTCCAGAAAAAAAAATTCTATGATAAAATAACTTGTTTGGTATGAACACAGCAGATAATTTCAGATGATGGCTCCAATGATTATCATTCCTTCATGGAAAAATGAAAATTTTTTTTTAACCAAAAAAAATATAAAAAGAATATTTATTGTTTTTGATTAATTCTTTTGAATTTCAATCAACCGATTGATTGTAAAAAAGAATACAATGATAAATCAATCAATCAATCATTGATTAAAAATGTTTGGGTGCAAATAGAAAAAAAAATTCTTTTTTGGGGGGCAGAAAAATCAAAGTTTAAATGTAATTTCCCCTCGCATTTGCAATGAATCAAAGAATTTAAAACAAAAACAAACATTGAAATGATTTAACCATCAAAATGTTGCAATCATCCGGAATCAAACATCATCACCACTACTACCATTACTATTGATTCTATTCAATCATAAGATATTAAATGAATATCAGTTGCCAGATGTGATGATGATGACGATGAAACTTTTGCCAAAATTTTTTTCTTCAATCATCATCATCATCATTTAATCTAAAATTAGAAACAACAACAACAATAAAAACATATTTTTACAGAAAGTTTTCGAATTTTCGATTTGAATTCTGAAAAGTTTCTCACGAATGAATATAGATGGCGCTAGTATGTTCATAAAAAAATTGACTTTTTAAATTTTTTTTTCATATTTTCAAATTTTTTTTTTATTGATAACCAAAAAATAAATAAATAAATTTTGAAGCATATGTTTTTGAACAATAATAATCATAATTATAAATGATAATAAAGCAGGCAAATTCGTAATTATAAATTAACAGAACAGAACAGAATTTATTGTAGTTTGAAATCTTCATTGTATTTTTTTACCAGAAAAAAAAATCGACGAATGATTTTTTTTTTAATTATTAATACCCAATGGTTTATTGGTTACTTCACAATCTTTATTACCTAAATGCTCACCAATATCCATACCTAATGTACCGGCACCAACACCAAAACCATAACCTTTTGGACCGAATTTTCTTGCATAACATTGTTTACACCATAAGGCATCAGCATGTGCATTTGCATTGATCGAATCTAAACGTTTATTACATAATTCACATTTAAAACATTGTTTATGCCATTTTAAACCACCGGCTAACATTTCTTCAGCATGATATACTGGACGAGTACATTTCATACAAATTGCTGATGACATTTTCGTTCGTTTGTTTAGTTCGGTGCGGTTTTTTTTTCGTCAAAACAAAAATCAAAATTCACAAAATTTAAGAAAATTTTTCTTTAAAAAAAGAAAGAAAATTGAAACCAGCATAGGTTTTTATATCTGTAATTTTTGAAATTGATGATTACTGCTTTGAAATTCTGGTTCGAATTGCCAATAATTTTTCTTCTTCATTTATTTCTCTGTTTGTTTGTTTGTTATTGCTCTGTGTTTTTTGCTTTGAGGAATTTGTTTGAAATGAAATACTTGTAAACAAAAAAAAAATGTTGCCATTTTTGTTACCAACAACACTAAAATGGGTGTAAAAAAATCAATAAAATTTTCAAAGTTAGTCAAAGTTTCTTTCTGTACAATTTATTTTAGTCTAAATAAACATTCTATTTTCACACACACAGACATTCCGAAATTTTACATCAACCAAATTGTCATTGAATAATCAATGAAAAAAAATACCGATTTCGTTCAATAACCTTAATCATTATTTTTATTGGAATTTTTTTTCGGCCAAAATTCCAATTTGTTTCTCGTCAATATTGATCGACTGGTTAATTCCTGGTTAATTTTTTTCATTTTTCTTGACGAAAATTATTATTAAAATAATAATGCCCAAATGGGCCAGCCAAAAGCATCTTTTTTTTCATTTTTTATTATGGAAAAATTTTGTGGATTAACCACCACCACCACCACTGTAGATGTTTCTATATGACAAATCTACACACACACATCGCGAACATATTGGATAAATGAAAAGAAAAAAAATGTTACCACACAAAGATTCTCTCTATTCATTCATAGAAAAATATCATCATCATCATTTGGATGCTGCGTGGGTGGAATTTGCCTTTTCTTCGTTGTCGTTATTTATTCTGATGCTGATGATGAGAAATTAGGCCAACAATGACGCCATTAGTGAACGCAAAAAACGAACGAACGCAAATCTCTCCTTGAGGTTCATGGTTGTTGTTTTTCTCTTGGTTTGTTTTGAATGTTGTTTTTGTTTTTCAAAATTTCATCGCGCGCCCGTTTTTTCGAAAATTTTAAAGAATTTTTATTTCCATTATGATTGATTCATTGATGAAAATTTGGTGAATTTTTCAGAAACCAGAAAAGTGTGAGATAGCCAAATACAAAAATTCAATAGAAGTCAATATATGGCGAAAAAATATCATTGTTATTGTTATTTTAGTTGGAAATTGATATAGTGATTATGGCGCGCAAAATCCCACAATAATAATATGATTTTCAGTGTGATGTATGGTTTGTTGTTCCAGAAGTATGTTTTCATCTTCTATATATAAATAGATAATGTGTTACTCTAGGGTTGATTCTCTCTTTTGGTATAGTTATCATCTACAAAAACAAGTTCAACGAACTATTTTGCACTTTTTTTCTTTCTCAAGAAAAAATCGATTTCAATTTTTCTTAAATCCAGAGAATTTTTTTTTTGGAAAATTTCTCTGGTCATTTTTTTTTCTTGGTCACTAAATTTGACCTACAAATAAACCAACAGGAAAAAAATCAATTCTACAAACAAACCAAAAAACATCCAATCCACCCACGCACACAACAACCAACAAACAACATTGAAATTTTTTCAATTTTCCAAACTACCACCACCACCAAATTCAAATGAAAATCAGTGAAGATCAGGGCAAATTGACGTCACCGAACCAACCAATCCACCCACGCACAATAAACCAAAAGAAAAAAAGTGAGAATAAAAAAAATTGTTACAACAACAACAAAAACCAAGCTTTTGGTTAGATCCAAACACACCAAACACAAACACACAATTTCATTGAACCAGAATTAAACGACATGAAAAGAAATGACGTCAATTGGGTTGAATTTGACCTAGAATCGTTTGTTTAGTGTTGTTGGCGTTAGTAGTGTTGTCTGGGTCTCTTTGTGAGATGTGATGTTTTTTTTTCTCCCGTAAAAAAAACTATTTTTGGAAAAATTCTACAATTCTGGGCCACATTTGGATTCTTGGATCTATATAAAGTTCGGTTGCGAAAAAAAAATTTCATTCAATGAAATGATCGAATTGAATAGTAGCAGTTTTGCTTCAGATTCTGTTTGTAATTCTTGTTTGTGATTCTATGAATGAATGATTCTGGTCGATTGTAACTATACAAATGTGCTGTATGATACCTTGAATCATTGAAAAAAAACAAAAACAAAATTCACATGATAATAATGATGATGACGTAATAATAACATTATTCGGTCGGTTATTATGTTTAGCAATGATATAGATAGAGATGATGATGATGATGATGGCAAACATTAGCAAGGTTTTTTTTCAAATATAATTCTTTGTCGTCATTTGTTTAGTTTCGTTACGTAAGCATAGCCTTCATTCCATTCAATTCAATTTTCATTTTTTCGTTTCGTTTCAATGATAACCAACAAGATTCTGTTGTTTGTTTGTTTGTTATTGAAGTTTTTTTTTATTAAAAATAAATATGGATGTGGATTATGGCCTTCAGCCAGTCTTTACTAAAAATGTAATGATAATCATTGAGAGATGCCAAAATAAGCTTTTTTTTTGGCTGTAAAAAGAAAATTATTATTTCGCAAATCTGGCTTGTGGAAAAAAAGTGATTGACTTTATTGGAAAAAATAATGATTGATTTGATATCGATTCGAATTAATTGATAATCGATAATGAAGTTAGTGCAAGAAAAAAATATTTTTGGTTGCCAAAAAAAAACCCCAAACTATTAAATAAATTGATGATTTAAAAAGTTGAAAAATTATCTAAAATCATGCAAAAACAAAAATATATTTTTCCTTTTTATTTCCTATTCTGTAACCATTTTCATGAATCGATTGATTGAATTTCGTTTTTTTTTCTTTCCCCAGAAACCGATATTCAACATTTTCATTTCTCAATCAATCTTTGAATCAAAACGTTGAATTTCAAGAAGAATTTTTTTTTTGGTATTTTACTGAAGAGAACAACAACAAAGAAAAAAAATATGAAGAAAACCTTATTAAAATATAGACATTTTATTTATAATATTGTTAAACATATTGTTGAACAACATAATACACGACAATATCGACAAAGACATTTATTAGATGTTTTATTATTTCTATATGGATTAATTCGTTTATTATTTCCAATATTAATGTATTTGGATTCAGAACAATATCCATTCTATCAATATGATTATGTTTCGGGATATTTTTGGAAATATCGTAAAATTCTTAATAAATTTTTTCTCATATTAATAATATTATTTTTATTAACCGGTTTAGTTGGTTTGAAAATATTTTATTTTACACATGTCGATACATTAAGTTTTCAAGTATCATATGATTGTATTGTTTACAATACGGATCAATATGGGAAAAGTTTGGATACCGATGAAAACGTTGCATTGAAAAAATCACGACGTTTTCAACAATATCAACAAAAATTTGCTGGAAATTATTCATTCATGTCGAGAATAATTCCAAAATTTATTCGTGAAACAATATTCAAAATTTTGGTTTGGCTAAATTCATGGCTAGAATTGGAACATGTTGATCGAAAATTGTTTCTCAAACAAAATAAAATGCGACTATTTCCATATGCAAATCTAAAAAGTCGTACCTATACATTATTATTGTTATTTGTAATGGAAATTTCTAATTTTTTAGGTCATATTTTTATTGGTAAGTAGTTATTAATAAGATTTCTAACCAAAATTTAAACTAATGAATTAATTGAAAAAAGTAATTGCATGGATATATGGCATTTATTTAATTTTACCTGAAATAATTTCATTTGATTTAATGAAAAATTCATTGATTCTATTAATTTGTTTAACGTTTGAAGCAATATTATTGATTATAATTATATTTATATTATTTGAATTGGCAATATTATTATCTTGTTTAACAATGGCACCATATCAATTATTTTTAAATACATTTATTCATTTAAATCGAAAATTATCATCAATTTCAACAAAATCCAATGGAAAAATCAATATTAGACAATTGAAACAATTAAAATTTATTTATCGACAACATAATATTCTTTGTTATTATGAAATTTTTGCCAATAAAGATGTTTGGAGTAAAGGACTTTATTATTATGCATTGGTCAGCATACCGATCAATGTAACAATAATGTGTGAATTGATTCACAGAGAGAAAAGTGATTGGCGTGTACTCACCCGATGCCGCAATAACGCCTGTTTCGGTGTACGCACGCCTGGCGTGCGGCGTGCAAACGCCAAGCGATTTTTTTTGACAATGCACGCCATGACAATGGCGTGCGAACGTCAATAATATTAATGAATAATTTGTTTGTAAAATAAATTGAATGAATTCAGGTAAAACAGTAATAGCAACACTAATAACAGTAAATACTGAAGGACAAAAAGTTTTTTAAAATTAGTTTTTTTTTGTTCTGTTTGTAATCAAAACAAAACTTACCAAATATAATATGAATCAAATAGATAAGTTTATCAGCAAAAATATTCAATAATAAAATTTGTGTACGACCTTTTAATGATGAATGTGAAAATAATTGCATTTTATTTTGTTCTATAAATAATTTCTTATCAACATGATCTAATTGTAACCATGAATCAAACCAAACACGTATCCAAATTAAACGATCAACCAATGGATTTATTATTGATAAATATTGATAATTTTTTTGAAATTGTTGTCGATAATGATTATAACGTGTTGATAATTTAATTTGAATATTTTCTTTTGTATCTAAACTTTTATAATATTGATCATTATTATAAACAATACAATCATATAAAATTTGAAAACTTAATGTATCCACACGGTGAAAGAAAAATGTTCGTATTCCCAGTATTGAAATCAATACCATCATAATACCGATAATGAAAAAAAATTTATTTAATAATGTACGATAACGATAAATATATGCGGATGCATAATCCATTGTTTGATAGAATGGAAATGTTTCCGGATCTAAATACATTAAAAATATTAATAATAAACGTATTAACCAATAAATATAGGATATTATTTCGAATATATGTAGTAAACGATATTGTTTGGTTCCATATTGTTCAACAATATGTTTTATTGAACTATACAGATATGTTTTCAAATGAAATAACATTTTTTGTTTGTTTTTGTTTTTTGCAGATTTGATTAATGTTCAATTATGATCTGTTCGTTATGAAATGATTTAACGAAATGATTGTACTGTTTGATATATAAATATTTTTTTTAAAAACAAACATTCATTTTCAAAAAAAAAAAAAATGGAAAATTTTTCTTGAAAAAATATTTGCATGAATTTTAGTAATTTTATTTCAAAAGTCAGAAATAATTTTTGTTTTTTTCCAAATAATTTTTTGCCTAATTATAATTTTTGATCAATAATCGATGAAGTATTTCATAATGATAATGTTTGTGATAATCGATTAATGGTGGTAATATAGGATAAGTTTTGTGGGGGGTAAAAGGGGAGGAGTTTATTTGTAACATTTTTTATTTTTATTTTTTTGATTCCACAATACACATGCTCACAAATATTGTAATTTTTATATTTTGTTTTAACATTGAAAATCAAATTAATAATAATGATAATAATAATAAATGCAAAATAAAACAAACTTTTTTTAAATACAAGCAACATTTATTTGTAATTATTATTTTAATGATTTAGTTGATTGCGATTGAATTTGATGTTCATTGATATAGAAACCAAGAATGAGAAAAAATGCAACAAAATAACCAAAAAATGCTTCAAACAGGCCACGAAATGTAAGATCACCTAATGTACCGAATGTATGGGCAATTTTTTTACCCGATAATAATCGTTCATAAAGATCATCATATTTCATTTTCAAACGCAGATGTGTTGAACGTTTTAATTGTAATTGCATTGCCGGTAAATGTTTATTTAATTTATGAANTTTCCTATTCTGTAACCATTTTCATGAATCGATTGATTGAATTTCGTTTTTTTTGTCTTCCCAGAAACCGATATTCAACATTTTCATTTCTCAATCAATCTTTGAATCAAAACGTTGAATTTCAAGAAGAATTTTTTTTTTGGTATTTTACTGAAGAGAACAACAACAAAGAAAAAAAATATGAAGAAAACCTTATTAAAATATAGACATTTTATTTATAATATTGTTAAACATATTGTTGAACAACATAATACAAGACAATATCGACAAAGACATTTATTAGATGTTTTATTATTTCTATATAGTAGCGCCCCTTAATTGGGAAATTGCATTTGAAATATTTCATTCACATTGCTGCTAGTGTGAAACCCCTATTAGGAAAAAAATTACATACATTTTACACAAACTTATTATGCATTAATAAACTTAGTATTTGTTTTTGAAAACGAAATGTATGAAAGAATATCGGATGAAAAATAGTTTTTAAATTTAAAATTTTGAAATTTGAAAAAAATCGATAAAATGAAATTTAAGGGAAAAAAATATTTATCATGCTAATGATTCCCCAAAAACTATTTTAACCCAATTTCTCCAAATTTCTTCATTTTCATCATATTAGTTTTGCGTTTCAACCTGAACGAATATCTGTATTTGCAATCCGAAAAAAATCAATTGAAAAAAGAAAATGTTGTTCAATATCAAAACATTTTTCTATACAGCTATGAAACATATCCATGAAGAATATGGTAGCAAACGTTATCGTTTACGACATAATTTAGATGTAATATTATTTCTTTATTGGTTTATACGATTATGTATTGTTTATCTAATGTTTTTTGATTCGGAAAAATATCCATGGTATCAATATGATTATGGTGCTGCATATTTTTGGAATCATCGTAAAATTTTAAATAAATTTCTAGTTATTATTTGTATATTTTTTGCATTACTTGGCCTATTAGGTATACGAACATTTTATTTTCAACGTTCCGATCAACTTAGTTTTCAAGAATTATATGATTGTGTTGTTTATAATACTGATCAATATTGGAAAAGTCGTGATTCAGATGAAAATATTCAAATTAAAAAATTTCGTCGTTTTCGTAAATATCGTCAACAATTTAACCATGATCATCGTTTTTTATCAATGATAAATCCATTAGCTAATCGTTTAGTTTCAATACGTGTTTGGTTGGATTCATGGTTACAAATGGATCGTATTGATAGAAATTTATTTGAACAACATAATCGTATGCGGCTATTTCCACATTCACCAATCAAAACACGTAATCGTTTATTAATTTTTATAATGCTTATAAATTATTTCAATCATTTCGTATTAATGTCCTGTAGTAAGTGTTTTATTTAATTAATTTTATCATAATTAATTACAAATCTATTTTTTCCACTTAAAAACCAAAATTAGTAATTATCACTGCAATTACTGCAGTTATAGTAATACCAGAATTTATATCATTAATAATGGATAAATCAATATTAATAAAATTATCATTTATAATTGAAGGAATATCATCATTTCATAATGTAATATCATTAATACAATGTGCATTATTATTAGCATGTTCAATAATATCACCATATATTACAATACATGGACAATTGACTGAAATGAATCATAAATTGATAAAATTATTAGAAAATATTAAATATAATAAACATCAAAACAATATTAATGATTTAAGACAATTAAGATTTTATCTAAATGAACATACAAGATTATCACATTTTGTTCTCTATACCGATAAAATTACCTGGAGCGAAGCATTATATTATTATGCATTAATCAGCATTCCAATCAATGTAACATTAATGTGCGAATTAATTGTTGAAGATTTGATGACAGAAACAAAATTTTTATTTATAACAGCATCAATAATACATGCTGTTACTGGTGCATTTCCATTCTTGTTATTAGCTAATATGTCAAATGATTTTCATAAATTAAATAAATATTTACCTGAAATGCAATTACAATTAAAACGTTCACAACATTTACGTTTAAAGATCAAATATGATGATCTTTATGAACGTTTAAATCATGGTAAAAAAATTGCCCATACATTTGGTACACTTGGTAATCTAACATTTCGTGGCCTGTTTGAAGCATTTTTCGGCTATATTGCTGCATTCTTTTTAATATTAAAAGTTTATATGAATGAACGACAAATTGTCAATAACAATCAACAATGATAAAGATAAATTGCTTCATTTTTTTTTTTTTTTTTTGTTAATTCTTGATCACTATATGAATGACCCTTACAATACATGTAAACCTAATTTTAACTGATTTCTTTGTTTTTCTATCAAAAAAAAAAAATTGATTAGTTAATGATTAAAAAAAATTTGTTTTTGAGAAAGTTTTGAAAGAAAACATTTTTTTATGAAAAAATTAGTTTATTTTTGCTGGGGAAATTGTTCAATCGATCCAATATTTGCATGATTTTAAGTAATTTTATTTTGAATTCAGAAATAAATTGAGTTTTTTTCCCGATAATTTTTTGCCTAATGACAATTTTGATATTCAAATTTTGATCATTAATCGATGAAGCATTTCATAATTGAACTATATTGATGATGATGATGGTAGTGATAATCGATTAAATTGGGTTGTAAGGAAAAAGAGTTTGATGGTTTTTCCACAGTAAAATTGTATCATTTTTAGATATTTCTTTAAGATTTCACAATACGCATGCTCACAAGTGTTGTAATTTATTTTTATTTATATTATTTTTTAAAACATAGAAATTTACAAAATACTAATTAATGCAAACAAAACAAAACAAAATTTAATAGAAACATTCATTTTCATTGATCTGTTGATTGATTAATTTGATGTTCATCCATATAGAAACCAAGTATTAGAAAAAATGCAACAAAATAACCAAAAAATGCTTCAAACAGGCCACGAAATGTTAGATTACCAAGCGTACCGAATGTATGGGCAATTTTTTTACCATAAATCAAACGTCCATAAAGATCATCATATTTTAATTTTAAACGTAAATGTTGTTTTGATTGTTTTAATTGTAATTGCATTGAAGGTAAATGTTTATTTAATTTATGAAAATCATATGATATTAATGCTAATAACATAAATGGTATTAAACTAGCAATTGTATGTGATAATGCAATTAATATAAATAATATTATTGCTTTAGTTGGTAAATCTTCAACTAATAATTCACAAATAAATGTAACATTTATGGGTATACCGACTAATGCATAATAAAATAATGATTTACTCCATGTATTTTGATCACTTTCCATTAGATAATATGTTAAACGTGTATGTTGTTCCAATATAAAACGTAATTGTTTTAAATCTTTAATTTTGATTGGTTTACCATTATTATAATGTGATTGATTTAAAATTTTTTGAAAATTTTCATTAATTTCATTCAATTCAAAATGATAAATTATTGATGCAGCTATTATTGTACATGATAATAATAACATACATTGTAATAATGTTACTGCATTAAAACCGAATATAATTTCTTCAATTATAATTCCCAATTTTTTTATCAATGAATTTTCAGTAAATACAAATAGACCTGGATTTACTATTGTTGCCGCAATTATATAAAGGATAACTATTTTATAATAAAAGTAAAATTAATTGTTGTATTAATCGATTGGTTGATTGAATGGATGCTTTAATCAATGAAATAAAAATCTACTTACCAAATATAATTTGTAAATAATAATTAAGATAATTAGCAAAAATTACAAACATTAATACACGATTACGTCCTTTGATTGGTGAATTTGGAAATAATTGCATACGATTATGTTTTTGAAATAATTTTCTATTAATACGATCCATTTTTAACCATGAATCAAGCCAAACTTTGAATGAAACTAAACGATCTGCTAATGGATTTATCATTGATAAAATCGGATGATTGTGGTTGAATTGTTGACGATAATAATTATAACGTGTTTGACATTTGATTGCAATGTTTTCATCGGTATCTAAACTTTTCCAATATTGATCAGTATTATAAACAATACAATCATAAAGAATACGAAAACTAAGCTGGCTAGGATCTTGAAAATAATATGTACGCATACCCAACATACCATCCAATACAATGAATATTAAAATAATTAGAAAAAATTTATTAAAAACTAAACGATATTTCCAAAAATAACCCGAACCATAATCCCATTTATATAACGGGAATGTTTCTGGATCCCAATACATTAAACCGATGAATAATAAACGTGCAAGCCAAAAAAAATACAGAATATTTTCCATATTATGTAACAAACGAAATTGACGGCTACCATATTCTTCGATGATATGTTTCATAGCACTATACAATAATGTTTTGATTTTGAATAACATTTTTGTTTTTGTTTTTTTCGGATTTGTTGTTGGTTAAGTTCAACCGTTCAATATGAAAAATTCTTAACAAATGAAATGAAATAATAGGATTTTGGCAAAATAGGATTTCTAATCTAATGATGATATTTGTTTCTTTCAAATATTTTTTTAATCACAAAAAAAATTGATCGTTATTCGATTTCGAAATGATCATTTTTTTGAAAAATGAATCGATTTTTTTTGCAAAAGAGATAGATGGGGGGAGGAAAGTGTTGATTTTTTCTGAATTTAATTCTGCGCCTGCTCATTTGTTCAATAGTAATGTTAATTATTGATTGATTTGATGTTCATTGATATAGAAACCAAGAATTAGAAAAAATGCAACCATATAACCGAAAAATGCTTCAAACAGGCCACGAAATGTAAGATTACCCAAAGTGCCAAATGTATGGGCAATTTTTCTACCCGAAATTAAACGTCCATAAAGATCATCATATTTTAGCTTTAAACGTAAATGTGTTGAACGTTTTAGTTGTAATTGCATTGCAGGTAAATGTTTATTTAATTTATAAAAATCATATGATACATAGGCTGTTGTTAAAAATGGTATTAAACTAGTAACAGCATGTATTGATGTAATTGATACAAATAATAACATTGTTTTGATTGACATATCTTCAACAATTAATTCACACATTAATGTTACATTGATTGGAATACCGATTAATGCATAATAATAAAATGCCTGACTCCATGTTGTTTTATCACTATATAATATATAATAGGATAATCGAATATGTTGTTCGAAAATGAAACGTAATTGTCGTAAATCTTTTCCGGTAATTGATTGTCCATTACGTGTTTTATTTAAAATTTTTTGAAAATTTTTATCCATTTCTATCAATTCAAAATGATAGATTAATGATGCTGATAATATTAAACATGATAATAATAATATAGATTGTATTAATGTAACATCATTATAACCAAATATTATTTCTTCAATTAATATTCCTAGTTTTTTTCCCATTGAATTTCCTGTTAATGCAAATAATTCCTTATTAACTATTAATGCAGTTATAATATAAAGGATGGCTATTGATATTTTTATTTAAAGAAGATTTTCAAAAAAATTAATTAAAATAAATTCAAAAATTTATATTTAAAAAAAATACTTACAATATGTAACTTGGGCAAAATAATTACAATTATCAATGAACAAAATGAACATTAATGCATAGTTACGTCCTTTGATCGGTGCATATGGAAACAATCGCATACGATTATGTTGTTGAAATAATTTTCTATCAATACGATCCATTTGTAACCATGAATCCAACCAAACACGTATTGAAACTAAACGATTAGCTAATGGTTTTATCATTGATAAAAAACGATGATCATGGTTAAATTGTTGACGATAATGGCGAAAACGACGAAATTTTTTAATTTGAACATTTTCATCTGAATCACGACTTTTCCAATATTGATCAGTATTGAAAACAACACAATCATATAATACTTGAAAACTAAGTTGATCGGAACGTTGATAGAAAAATGTTTTCAAGCCTAAAAAACCACCCAATACAATAAATATGAGAATGATAAGAAGAAATTTATTAAAAATATAACGATTTTGCCAAAAATAACCCGAACCATAATCCCATTTATATAACGGGAATGTTTCTGGATCAAAATACATTAAACCGATGAATAATATTCGTCCCAACCAAAATAGATAAAGTATTATATCGAAATTATGTAATAAACGATATTTTCGGCTACCATGTTCTTCACAAATATGTTTCATAGCATTATACATTAATTTTTTAATTTTAAACAACATAATTAAAAAAAACAAAGATATTACGAAATAACCAATATGTGTTCAAATAGATTGAAAATTACAACAAATAATGTTTGATTTGAAAACGTTTGACGTTGTTTTCATATATAGAATAATAATAATAATGAAAAACTTTTCAAGAAAAATAATGATACTTTTCCCAATAAATACTAATGATTATTTTTGTTTTGAAAATATTTCTTTTTTTTTCATTAATTTGTTTATCATAAAAGCGAAAAAAAATCGATTGTCAATTGCATTTGAAATGATTGATCGAAAATCGATTGGAAATGGAGGAAAGGGATATTAGAATTGGAATTTTATTGATGTAACCCCTATTCCATAAAAATAAAGGGGAAAAATAAAAGTTACAAAATCAAAGGTTGAGGAAAGGGATATGAAAATTGTGGAGATTTTTTTTTGAAAAAAATATCATTTTCATGTCATGCGCATTTATAAAATTTTGTAATTTTTTTAAATTAAAAGAGAAGTAATGTGGGGAAAAAATGACAAAAATATCGAAATTGAAATCGAAAACAAAAAAAAAAATTAAACTTTAATCAATAATTAGATAATCAAACAAAACAGACAAAAAAGGATGATCAAAGAATATGGTTTTTCAATTCAATAGAATTTTATCCTCTTGATTGACAAACAAGTAAGTATATTTGAAAATTATAATCTTTCTTACGTTGTTTTATTGGTTCAAATGCTTCAAATAGGCCACGAAATGTAAGATTACCCAATGTACCGAATGTATGAACAATTTTTTTACCCCAAATTAATCGTTCATAAAGATCATCATATTTCAATTTCAAACGTAAATGTGTTGAACGTTTTAGCTGTAATTGCATTTCAGGTAAATGTTTATTAATTGAATGAAAATCATTTGACATATTTGCTAATAACAGAAATGGAAACGATCCAGTTACAATATGCAGAACAATAATTATAATGAATAAAAATTTTGTTTCCGGTATAATATCTTCAACAATTAATTCACACATTAATGTAATATTGATTGGTATGCTGACTAATGCATAATAATATAATGCATCACTCCATGTAGTTTTATCATTATATAAAACAAAATATGATAATCTAGTATGTTCATTTAGATAAAATCTTAATTGTTTACCATTAATTTGTTGATTATGATATTTTGATTTATTTAAAATATTAATAAATTTGTGATTCATATCATAAAGATTACCATGATAAATTAAATATGATGATATTATTGAACATGATAATAATATTGCACTTTGTACTAATGTTGAAAATGTATTAAATATTAATATTGCTTCAATTGTTAAACATGATTTCATTATTAATGAATTTTTCATTAATTCAGTTTGAAAACTTTGTGAAACAATAACGATAGCAGCAATAATAATAATAATATCTGCAAAATAACAATAAAAATTTGTTTTAAAAATTCTTAATTAATAACAATAAACAAAAAAAAAAAAAAAAAAAAAAAAAAAAAAAAAAAAAAAAATTTA